TAATCGGCAGGAATTGTTAGATTTCTCGCTGGCCACTGATCGCACTGCTCCGTGGGCTGTTCCTTTGGATCCACCCTCTCGCTCAGAAGTGGTACATGAGATCGAACTGTTGAAATAAAGCCGCGGGACCTGATGATCTTCCTCCAGCCCTCATCAAATTCTGGGGACCTGCTCTTGTGGATAATTTACGCGGGTTACTATTCAAACTATGGGAGCAGGAAACTGTCCCAACCGACTTTAGCCGCTCCATCATAGTCCCAATTTTCAAGGGAGGCTCACGATCGGAATGTGGCAGCCGTAGAGGAATCAGTTTGATCTTCATCGCCTCCATATTGCTTGCCTCTGTCATCCTTCACAGACTGACTGGCACTCGTGAAAGCCAGATTCGTGAAGAGCAAGCCGGGTTTCGTCGAGGTTGTGGTTGCATTGACCACATCTTCACCTTGCGTCAGTTGTTGGAGCACCGTCACACATATTGGCGGCCCACTGTTGTCGTATTCCTCGATATCAAATGTGCATTCGATTCGGTGAATAGACTTGCACGTTGGGAAAAGTGTGCCTGAAAAATATGTAAATATTATCCGAGCATTATATGCGCTCAGCTCGGGCAGAGTGAAGGCTTACAGCAAGCTGTCGACGCCATTTAATATCTCCAGCGGTGTGAGACAAGGATGCCCGCTGTCACCTTTCCTCTTCAACTTCGTTTTTGACGAAGTCATTGAAATCGTGTTCACAGGACACGACTTAAAAGGTATGGATCTGCTCCCAGAAGAACGACTTCTTGACTTAGAGTATGCTGATGATATTGCCCTAATCTGTGACAGCTCCCAGACGTGCTAAGCGGCACTGGACAGATTAACACTAGCTGTCCGTCACTTCGGGTTTTGCTTCGCACCCTCGAAGTGCAAAGCGTTCCTCCAAGATTGGTCTGGACCGCCTCCTTCTCTGACCGTTGGTGGGGATCAGTTAGAAGTCGTTCGGAAATTCAACTACCTGGGAAGTTGTATTAGCGCCCTTGGCATCGAAGACGAGATCACGAACCGTATAGCAAAAGCTCGGGGCGCTTTTGCTAACCTTCGCCACTTATGGCGGCAGCGCGACATCACTCTTGCCCTGAAGGGTATAGTGTACAATGCAGTGGTACATTCGACCCTACTGTACGGTTGTGAAACCTAGCCCCTTAAAGCAACGGACCTGAAGAGGCTAGTTACGTTCGACCACCGGTGCCTTCGCAATTTACCTCACATCTGGTGGGAACACCGCGTGAGCAACGAGCGTGTTTGACGCCTTGTTTATGGCACAGAAAATGGAACTGAACCGCTCAGCGCCGTTATTTCCCGCACCAAGCTCCGATGGCTCGGCCATGTGTTGCGCATGCCAGCCCACCGACTCCCGCGACGTGCGTTGTTTGCTCAACGGGGTGTGAATGGAAGAAGAGGAGGGGGTGGCTACGCGATAACTTGGTTAAGAGGAATGAAGGCTCTCACTTTTGAGCTGGCCTCAGTTGGAAAGTCTCGGCTGCCTGGTTGAAGTCCGAAAGACGATGAACACGTTTGGTTGGACACACTTGCTGCTATGGCAAGGAGCCGACCTCAGTGGCGTTCGTGCTGTGAGTTTCTTTGTCTCACCCCATCCCTTTTAGCCTCCTCCTCCAACCACTATCTCATTATTTAGCCTTATATAATTTTGCATAGTATTTTTTCTGATGCACAGTAGCCGGCTGCTAGCTTACCGGAACGATGCCCATCCGCTACCGGTAGCTCAGCCGGCTTGCACCAGTTGCTTTTTTTCTCCTTTTTCCTATATATTGCGGCACAGTAGCTGAGGTGTTTCCCACCTCTAGCTAACGTGTATGATGATGATGATGGCGTTCCTTAAATAAAGGGGGCACTTATTGACTCACCCCAGGAGGATGGAATCTTCTCTTCGGGAACCTTGTCAACTGCTTGACAAGTGTTGGGCCTCCAAACTTGAACATCTCTGGAGGTAGTTTGCCTGAGCCGGGAGAATTGAATCTCTTGAGGTGTCGAATCGTGGCGAAAGCCTTCGCTTTGTTAGGTGGCTGCAATTAAATGGCCCAGGGCATGCAATTGGGTGTACTTGGCATACTAGCGGACGATGGATGAGGATAGAATTGGGAGTGCAAGTGTTCGACCCAACACTTACGCGTCTTCGTGACCCATCCGCTTCACAGATAGCTTCACTGCTACCAAGCCTTCTGGGACCGGTGAATCGAATGAGTTGGAAGAGTTTGCGGAACTTGCCAGAGAGAGCAGCGGTTTCCATCTCCGAGGCGCACTACCACCAAGTCTCGCGGTCATTACGCAAGCGTTGTCTGAGTTGTCGATTGAGAGTCTGGCGCACAGAATTATGAGCTAACTCTGCTGGTACATTTCGACGGCGGTCAAACACTTCTTGCGAGCGAGCGAGCGAGCGCGATCCTACATTTCAAAGGGTGTTGTATGAGATCACAAAGCGACTGACCAGAGGAAAGTATCGCTTCGTGCAAACAAGCCCAATGTTGCTCAACATCTTGGGGTGGACTACACTTGAGCGCGTCCGATAGTGCAGCTTAATAGCTCAGCTGGACTGAAGGGTCGATTAACCTGTTTGTGTCATTCTTACGGTACAGTTGTTTCCGGGGCCCACCGATGCGCATGCAGATGTTCGCACAAACCAGCGCTTGATCTGAGTCGAGTTTGGTTGACCAGAATGACCTGCAGTCTTGTATACTACCTCGCCAACCGAAACTGATTACCATGTAGTCGATCTAGGACCAGAACTGTGTTGACGACTGAGAGCGCAAGTTTTCGGAACTTCTCTTGTTATGCCTATAATTGGTGCTGGAGAGAAACAAGTGGTTGTCCTCGCACATTGTGAGGAGCCGGTCCCCATTATCCCTGTATCTCGTTAAGCGCTTGCTGACCTCCAAGGTGGCCTTCATATGGAAGCAGACGACCGACCCGTGCATTAAAATCACCTGCAAATATAATAACATTTTCCTCATCCACTTTATTTAGAAGAAGGTAAAGTTCACGATAAAAATCGTCTTTTACAGAATCACTGCTGCAGTCATTTGGGGGACCAGGCAGAAACGACAAACAAGTTGCGTGTTTCCTTGCGCTGTCTATTGATACGACATACTTCTTGAAGCCGAACTGCGCAAAGCCGATTGTTAACTGGTAACCAATCTAGCAACTCAGCTTCAGCTTTCGTACTTAGCGCCATCCCAACGTCAGCCAAACCTGCTGCAGTTGCTTCTGCATCAGTGGATTGACGCAGTTTGTGTATGGTTCCGCGATCAGAAGGGGACGTCAGCCCGACAACACAGTTGGAATTCTGCAACCGAGTTTTGGAAACGCGGCACACGTCAATGGCAAGCGACTCCAGGATACGCGCCAGACCTGCCTGTTGACCAATCTGCATAAGCGTTCGTACCTTGAAGCCGGCTACTCGGAACATCTATCGATTTTTAACTATGGCTGTCGATTGAACTTTCCGGATGTCGGCAAAACCGAGCTCGGAGGCAGAATCAACGGAGGTAGGATTGACAACGAATGTACTGTTGGCGTGTGATGGAAGTTGGCGGACGACGAAAGCAGCAGAAGCGGAAGCGTGAAGGTAAGGTCATGGTTTTTCTCAGCGGGCATGTTACTACCCGGTTGCCCAGGTCGTGGTATTGAGTTGACTTAGGAGGCTCTGTCCCGAGCCTTTGGCTCAATAGCCTACCCGCAATGCAGCGGGGGGAAGTCAGGAGATCGCCTCCACTGAGAGCCGGTGGCCGATTGCACGGTTCATACGCCTTTTGTTTGACGATCTACCAAACTGGGCCCACTCCACTCAATAATTCATACTTCTAATGAATTACAATGTTTTGCTGAAGCAAAGCAAGGAGCAGTGACTTTATTTAGTGGCAAATCACATCCGCCACGTCATAGTATTGTTAAACGGACATTTGTAACTTTTTACTGGGGGAACGCTTGTCAGACGAAAACCCACCACGTCCTGGAACACTGCCGCCGAACTTTCTGCTGGAACGGGGCAAGCCCGATCCACCCAACTGGCACCACGAGGAGGTAGTTCGCAAGCTCCGCGTAGGGGTGGGCATCCTCGCGGTATACTCGGCCCGCGCGCGACTGATGGTGGTTGCGCGGCAGCGAAGCGCCGTTACGGCGTACTGCTGACACATTATTATTATTATTATTATTATTATTATTATTATTATTATTAGTTCGCAAGCCATTATAAGCTACGAGATTACTCAATCATTTCGTGTACACTTATCAATCACAAATGTAAAATAAACGATAGGTTTACAAAAATCACGGTCATATAAGATCGATAGCTAATCAGTACACCTCGAGCTAACATGGAACTTCTGATTCACGGTCAGCTGTTCCGCACCTCACTCAGTTGGGCATTTGGGTGAATCTTCCGGCTGGTTATGTTTGGTATGCGACGTAGTATGAGTCCTGTCTTTTGAACATGATTGAATGGTGTCCCTGGCTAAGTTGTGACGATGAACTATCCAACGAAAGCTCAGCATTCGTACTCATTTGCTTTCTATGCACCGTTCGATTGCGTGTCATTCCGCCAATTGAGAAGCGGTTCACTGCAGCCTATTGATACGCTTTGCGGCCACATCCAACTAAAGTTAGGCACATCTACAAGTAGGCAACGCGTTTTTCGCGTTCGTCCTTGCCCATCATGTGCCTCTCAATCACCTGATCCTAAGTTCTATCACCTATGTATAATTAACTTTCATCAGTTTCCATGTGATGGTCATTTTCCCCCAGGAATTGTATTGGTACACCTAACCTCCATCCAACCTTATCATCTGTTTTACTGTACCGTTTGTTGTTCACCAACCGTTAGGAGCACGCTTTCCTTACGTCCTCTAATTTCAACTCATATTTTCCCACCATCCCCATCGCTTGTACTAGTGGCTTCTTCGGCAGCCAATATTTCCATGCTTACCATCCAGTTAAATCCTTTTTCATAGCTTGAGTCATGGAAACTATTTTGGAACAACAGCGTCGCTATCATGAAGAACGAGAGCGTCTGATCAACGAACTAACAAAAGAGATGCTTTATCATGGGACTACAGTAGGTTTTCACAGGCCTTTCTCATATGCCTTCCTCCCACATCAAGCACAAAGAGAAACTTAATTCAGAATTTCGCCTGCGAATGATGTATGATGTAAGCCTATGTTATTAAACATTTATATTTCTCTTAACTCAGCGTTACTTGGATCTCACTCAGCAGTTACGTGATATGTATGAAGACAAGGATGGGTGAGTGTCAGGAATTATCTGCTTCTGTTGCTCCATTCCTCCTTAGTTTTATTCACTGTCATCCTTAATCATTCTGTACTTATGTAGCATGAGAAAGTTGGACATTCAATCACTTTCTGGCCCTAACGAGTTCAACGAGTTTTACGAGCGCCTTAAACAAGTGAAGGACTTCCATCGTAGGCATCCAGATGAGGTTGGCGCCAGGTGTTTCTTTCTTAGCGGTAACCATATTTTAGCCTTGCGTGCCAATGTCTGTGGAATTTGAGAGGTATAAAGAAATGCGCGAAAAACCAGAAGAAGCAAATGCTACTCTGATTGAATTTACCGATGAAGAAGGATACGGTCGTTTCCTGGACATGCATGATGTATACAAAAAGTATTTAAATTTGAAGGGCGTTCCGGTTTGTAATCCGCTTCAACTTGACCATCTGCATGAACCACTTGTAGAGGCTCGACTATCTGACTTATTTGTCGTTCTTTGATCGCCTGTATGATATCTCACGTGACAAGAAGGGCATCGCTTACAAGGCGTACGTTTTCGCTTATTCGATTTGGATTTGTTCAGATATCTGGAGGATTTGTTGATTTATCTGGAAGATTTTCTTTCGCGCGCTCGGCCTGTTATCGATTTAAACGAGGTACCGTTTTTTACTCCATTTTTTCGTTTTTGGATTTAGCCATCTCAGTTCACTTATCTGCATTCATTTGATAATGCTCTTACGGGATCGAAACACACTTACTGATTAGCTAGCAACGCACTTCTTTTGTACAGGTCGTTTTTTTGATGAAAAGTGAAGAAAGCAGTTATCGGATACGTTTCTTTTACTTTACTGCTTGCTTATTTAAAAACCTTCGGGGATCGATAACAGTAATGTACAGGGTGGCGCACGAAGTGCCATACCATTTGTTTTGTTCAATTCACACGTACTACTATAGATGTAATGTTGCAAACTCGTATTTGTATAATTGGTTTTATGCAAAATTCGGTAGATGTCACGAGAAGTTAGTATGGAATATTTTCTTGGCGCCAAACAATTTTCACAGTAACGCATAAGAGCAGATTGAGTGTTGAACACAAGGTGAAAGTTGTAATGTTTTTTTACAGAAACGAGGAGTTTTGTAGCGACACAAAGACGTTTTCGTACACACTTTCATACAAAATGCACTCCATGCAGGCAGACTATTCAGAGATTGTATCGTCAATTTGAAACAACTAGCTCTTTGATGGTGAGGAATCGACGGCGCAGACCAAATATCCGCACCCCGGAAAACATGGAAGCTTGCAAGAGGTTGTGAAACAAAATGACCACATTGAACACACTACAGTGAACTAAATTTAAATGCTCATGCAATTAATTCTGCACTAATTTTGTAATATTTTGATGAGAAATTCATGTGTAAGGAACAAAACATATAGTATGACGTTTCTTGCGCTACCCCGTGTAACTTTATCTTAAGGAAGGTTTCACGGGGTTGTGCGTTATTCGCAATCCCACAAATTAGGTTAGAGAGCTCGGTGCATTCTTACTTGCAATGCAACCACTTTTGAACGGTTTCGATACGCACACTTACTTTCTTTTTCATAAGTGAGGTTTAGCCTATGATAATCTTTTCCATGTGGTTCTGGATTTATTTTTCTGGCTATCCATTACGCTCCTACCCACTTAAATAAAACTCAGCTTGTCGTACATAACCCATCGCACTGTCTCCTACATTGTTTGAAGAGAGATTCATGGTATTGCGTGGGCAAGATACTGTCTGGTTACCCAGGCCTAGACAGGAGAACAATTAGGATTATCGACAAAAGACTGACCGCAAAGCAGCGGAGTTTCAGCATTTTGTTACAGCGAGTTTGTTTTACGGAGTACGGAGCCACCCTCACTCCAACCCTCAACCTGGAGTGCCAGAAGTCTGAGTTTATTTGGCCTCTAACCACTGATCAATCTGGTATGAATGGCTCTGGAGGTGCAGAAAGTACCGCCCAGGATAGCTTAATGGATTGCTGCGGCAAGCAAACCATCGCGCCACCTTAAGGTCCAGTCTTGTCACAATGGGACCCAAAAGACGATGAACACGCATGGCTGGATACACTTTTTGACATGTCTAGGAGCCGAACTCAGTGGCGTTTATGTTGTGAGCTTCTTTGTCGCTCCTCCCGCGTATCCTCTCCCTCCAACCACAATCATTTTCCCGGAGCATAATCTAACGTTGTCTGCGGCACAACAGCCGGCTGTTAGCTCTCCGGAACAATGTTCATCCGTTACAAGTAGCTCAGCTGGCGCGCCTGTGTTGCATCTCTTTATTATGTCTTCTACTTGTGTATTGCGACACAATGGCTGAGGTGTCCGAACCTCTAACTAAGGTGTATAATGGATGAGTGAATGAATGCTCTCTGTTTCAACGAGACTGGATCTTAACGTGGTGCGACGGTTTGCGTACCTCTATGACCCATTGAGGCATACTGGGCGGTGCCGCCGGGCCCCTCGTGAGCTGTTCCTTCCAGATTGATCAGTGCTTAGAGCTCAGACAAACTCAGTCTCCTGGTCCTCCAAGTTGGACGTTTGAAATGGGTTGGCGTCCATTTCTCTAAAACTAAATCATTGCCACCTCCCCACTGCCTTGCGCACTGGCTTTTGAGCCAAAGGCTGGTTGGGGACCCTAGTCGTCCTTCTGTCTCGATCTGGGCATCCTGGTAGTATCTCAGCCCACATACAACCATGACTATTTCCTCAAAAGTTAATTACGTCCTGCATCGGCCGTCGCACAGCTCATCAAGGGTCGCCTTATCTGCTGCATACAGCAGGGCGGATAAGCGAAAGCATACTACTGTTGGCGCCTCTTTTCTTTTCCACCTGTCCTCTTGCCTCTCAACCCCTATTACTGACCTTTCTTCTTTAGTTTCAAGCTTGATTGACAGCAGACCTAATGCCACTGGAGTCGAACCATCTGCAGCTATCTTCCTGCACCACCCACTGATTGCCTGTCGGCAACAGTCCTTTATAAAGCCACACTGTCCCGTTTCCCTGGCGACGTTTAACGTTCGCACTCTAAGACAAATAGGTCAACAGGCTGCACTCACGCACGTTAGACACATTGTGTTGCGTATCTGAAACTAGGATCAATGACTCGGAGTTGTTGAATTAACTGCACCCGGCTTATCCTCTCGCTATTGGCTGCACGCATTCGGAGACACTGATGCGGCAGCCTCTGGTCAAGCTGGGGTAGGTATCGTACTCAAGTCCAAGCCTGATTCCTCGTTGCTTGATTGGATTCCGGTGAACAGCCGTTTGTGTGCAGCCCGTTTGATGACACCTACCAAGGTTGGTTCACGATCTAGTACTAGATGCTGTTTGTTTGTGATTTCCGGTAGCGCTCCCACCGACTACAGTTCTGATGTTGCCAAGGACACATTCTACCACGCTACTACACAGTGCTACCAGTTCAGATATCAAAGTATTTGCAGGAGTATGAATGCACAAGTAGGTCGCCTGGGCTCTTCAGAAACTCAGCTAGGTGGTAAATATGGGCTTAACTTTAACCGTACGGACAACGGCGAGCGTCTGCTGCAACCGTGTGCGGAGCACCAGATGTTTCTTAGTAGCACTGCTTTCAGACACAGTGGGCGCCGAAGTGCCACTTGGCATCCTGTAGCTGGCCTGCGATGTACCCAAATAAACCACATTGCCACAAGTTACAGGTGGTATGGTTCCATCGTGGATTGCCGCTCGTTCTGGAGTATTTGCATCGACTCTGATCATGCCTTGGTACGCTGACCCTATTTCATAAACTTTACCGGGAGGCGCACCAGGCATCTCCCCCGATTGGCAACTGAGAGGTTATCTCAGCCGTCGGTCAGGTAAGCCTACTTTCGCTGTCTTGTCCTAATGACACTGAGCTTCAGTGGAATAGGATCTCGGCCGCTATGCACAACGCAGGAGCATTTGCTTGTGGTACTATCAATCGTCACCGCACCAGTCACTGGATATCCGAGAGGTTGGGGAATCTGTTGAAATCTAGAATTAAACTCCCGGCTGGCTCTGAACACAATGTGATCAAACGGACCATTAGGCACGATCTAAAGCGGAGCCTGCGCGCTGACAAGGAAGCCTGGTAGATCAGTCGGGCTCAAGAAATGGAGGAGGCGGAATAAGTAGGGAACTATCACAAGCTTTTCCAGCTGATCCGCGCCACTGATCTCAGGAAACCAGACGTCAGTGAGATAATCAGAGACAGCGCGGGTACTCTGATTCACTATAAGGAGAGCCGTATGGTTCGTTGGGCGGAACGCTTTCAGGATCAGTTCAGTTGCCCCCTGCTTCCGGGCCTCTTCCTACTCAGGTGATGCAGGATGCGCCATGGACGGTTACTCTAGAGGCTCCGTCGGAGGCTGAGGTCAGAAACGCGATCACGACTCTCAATCGTTTTCGTGCTGCTGACCCGGATTCACCCCCACCTGCACTATTTGGTATACGCTTTGCACCTTCAAAGTGCAAAGTGTTGCTGCAGGACCACCAGCCACTTGACGATCCATTGACCCTAGATAGCGAGGAACTCTTGGTAATTGATCAATTTACTTATGTTGGCAGATGCATCGGCAACGATAGGCGTATAGAAACTGAAGTCAGTTCACACATTGCAAAAACCAGAACCGCTTTTTTGCATCTGCGACATCTTTGGCGATAGAAAGGGGTTTCCTTCTGTTTGGAAGGCCGTGTTCACAAGGCCACTGTGAGGGCCGTCCTATTGTATGGGAGTGAGGCTTTGCCCTTGCGATCTGAAGATCTGAGGCGTCTTCAAGTCTTTGATCCTCGCTGTCTGCAGAGCACCAGTGTGTCCGCAACGATGATGTGCGTAAGCGCTAGGCAATGATACCCAAGCTAGTTCTTTAGAACACTAGGCAGCACTGAATAAGTTGCTTTGGCTTGGGTATGCCTGGTCACCACTTACCGTGAAGCGCCTTGTTTTGTATGCCAGATGTAGGGTGGCGCGTGGCTCAAGATGGACAAAAGTTGACTTAGCAGCGTGAAATAAAGTCTCTGACTACCAAAGTAGGTTCCGTCGGTCCGTCTCGCCTTCCAGGCTGGAGTCCATGAAACGCCTTGTGCTTGGCTCGTCATCATCATCATTATACATCTCAGCTAGAGGTGGTGAAACACCTCCGCTATTGTACCGCAATACATAAAGGAAATACATACATACAATACATAAAGGAAAAATAAATACGACAGTTGCATGCCAGCTGAGCTACCAGCAACGGATAGGCATCGTTCCGGTAAGCTACCAGCCAGCTACAATTCAAAAAAAAATTTATTATGTTTTACCCTACTAAATGAGATCGTAGGTGGAAGGGGAGGCTAAAAGGGATGGGGAGGGACAAAGAAACTCACAGCACGAACGCCACTGGGGTCGGCTCCTTGCCGTCAGCAGGTGTATCCAGCCAAACGTGTTCACCGTCTTTCGGACCCCAACCAGGGAGCCGTGAAGCTCCAACCGAGGCTAGCTCCGAATTGAGGGACTTCATTCCTCTGGACCAAGTCATCGCTTGGCCACCCCTCCTCTTCTTCCATCCACACCCCCGTTGAGCAAACAACGCACGTCGAGGGAGTCGGTGGGCTGGCATGCGCAACAAGTGGCCGAGCCATCGGAGCCTGGTGCGGGAAATAACGGTGCTGAGCGATTCATTTCCTTTTCCTGTGCCTTAAACAAGGCGTCGAACACGCTCGTTACTCACGCGGTGTTCCCACCAGATGTGAGCAAAACTGCGAAGGCACCGATGGTCGAACGTAACTAGCCTCTTCATGTCCGCCGATCTTAGGGGCCAGGTTTCGCAACCGTACAGTAAGGTCGAACGTACCGCTGCATTGTACACTCTACCCTCAGGGCGAGAGTAATGTCGCGCCGCCGCCATAGGTGGCGAAGGTTAGCAAAAGCACTTCGAGCTTTCGCTATACGGTTCGTGATCTCGTCTTCGATCCCAAGGGCGCTGATACAACTTCCCAGGTAATTGAATTTCTGAACGACTTCTAGCTGATTCCCACCAAGGGTCAGCGCAGGAGGCGATCTCTGCCAATCTTGGAGGAACGCTTTGCACTTCGATGGTGCAAAGCAAAGCCCGAAGCGATTGCCAACCAGTACTAATCTGTCCAGCGCGGCTTAGCACGTCTGGGAGCTGTCACAGATGAGGGCAATGTCGTCTGCATACTCCAAGTCAAGAAGTCGTTCTCCTGGGACTAACTCCACACCTTCCAAGTCATGTCCTGTAAATGCAATCTCCATGACTTCTAATAGCGAAGTTGAAGAGGAAAGGTAACAGCGGACGTCCTTGTCTCACACTGCTGGAGATATTGAAGGGTGGCGACAGCTTGCCGTAAGCACTCACTCTGCCCGTGCTACGCGCATATAATGCTTGGATAATATTTACATATTTCTCGGGGCACACCTTTCCTGAATAGACAATTCCAAAGTGCACATCGATCAACCGAATCAAAGGCACCTTTGATATCTAGGAACACGACAACGGTGGGCCGCCAATATGTGTGACGGTGCTCCAACAACTGACGCAAGGTAAAGATGTGGTCGATGCAGCCACGACCACGACGAAACCCGGCTTGCTCCTCATGAATCTGGCTTTCACGAGCGCCAGTCAGTCTGTGAAGAATTATGAAGGCGAGTAATTTGGAGGCGATAGAGATCAGACTGATTCCTCTATGGTTGCCGCATTCCGAGCGCGAGCCTCCTTTGAAGATGGGAACAATAACGGAGCGGCTGCAGTAGGTTGGGACAGTCTCTTGCTCCCACAGTTTCACTAGTAATTCATGTAAAGCATCAACAAGAGTAGAGCCTCCGAATTTGAAAAGGGCTGGAGGAAAATCATCTGGTCCCGCTGCTTTGTTCAACTTCAACAGTCCGATCTCACGTTCGACTTTTGAGCGAGAGGGTGGATCCAAACGGACAGCCCACGGAGCAGGGCGATCAGTGACCAGCGAATCGAACAATTCTAGCCGATTAAACTGCTTTTCAAAAGCTCAGCCCAACGCTCCAAATGTTTTGACTAGTTGTGGATAGGCTGTCCACTCTCGTCGCGTATAGTTTCACTAACACCAGGTGTTCTGCTGCCCGTTTCCCGTATCAGCCGGAATAATTTTCGATAGTTACCAAGGGCAGCGGCCATTCCCATCTCTGATGCACGATGAGACCACCAGGATTCGCGGTCTCTCTTCAGGCTAGCGCGGAATTTCGCCCGGAGCTGTTTGCGAGTTTCATTGTGTTCACTTCCACCCGGAATATGCCGGCGAACGTCGTTAAGTTCCAGAGACCGCGAAGAGACCCAGTATCCATGTTGGCTATTAGACATACCACATGAGGATTTGCCTGCTGCTAGTAAGGTCTGGCGAACATGTGACCAGTGACCATCAATTGTCTCCAGTGAGCGCTTACTCAATACGCATGTCAGCGTACTTCGATACGCATTCAGAACAGCTGGCTGGTGTCAGTGCGCTCACATGGTCGTCGTGGGCGTTTTCCAAAACGCATTCGCATGTTTGGCTCGAGACTTTACAGGACATTGTTCGCAGTCCGCACCAGTGGCGCGTCTCTTGCCATCTCGTAGTCGGACTGTTTCTTTATCGTGTGTTTGGTGCTGAGTGATCTGCGTGCTAATGGCTGATTATGACGCGGGACAGTGAAAACCGCAAGGAGGCTGTCTCGCTGACGTCACCTTATCTTTTCTCGATAGCAAGCTGTTGGTAATGATATGTTATTGACTCTGAATCTTTGCTTATGGCATTGAGGTTTTTCGGTTAGTCACCCTTCTCTCCCTCTTATTAATTTTCGTTCCGTAGGTCGTTATGGTTGTATGGCAACAAAGCATCAATTTAAATGGCTGATGTACTGCTGTTGATGGTGAGGTTGGTGATGATGCATGAACTCTCTCCGTTACGCAATGGATGTGATATCATTTGACTTAATGGAACTAAACGAGCGATTTAGATACTATGATTATTCCAAGGTTCCTTTATCTGCACTCTCCCCTGCATTGAACTTTCTGCCGTCTTGGTGAATTGGGCATTTATGAATGCCAAGGAATCATTAAATTTCAGTTCGATAGTAAATCACACACTGCTGTGTGCGCGTTTGAAGTGAGCCAGTAGATCTACGATGCCCACTCGCTTATCCACAATACGGGTGCAGATCGGCTCTTTTGGAAAACTAGTTTGTTAACGTCCGTTTCTGATATAGCATCAAGGACAAATACATCAAATTAGTAGCATCTCTTTTTGATCGTATGTCTTCTTCGTGTTACCTTAATCTCATGTTACCTTACAATTCCTCTATTTTGCATGCCTAATTGTACAATGCGAATCTTGCTTCTGTTCATTGTTCCCTACTTGAGTTGACGATTCAACTCCTAACGGGGGCTTGCTACTTGTCTTATTTTCAACCGATTTTAAATCTATAGGCTTGGCATTTGTTATATTTAATGTTATCCTCTTGATTGTGAGTATCGTTTAGTTCACTATTTGTTTGGCTCACATTTCTACTTCATTTTGTTTGCAACTTTAGGAGACTAAGGAAGCGTTAGCTAAATTTGAAGTGCAATGGAGCCAAGGTACGTTCCCGGGATGGGGTCGTGAGGCGGCACCGGCACTCACTCGTGGTGGTGCTCATCTCGATCTGACCGCTTTTACCGCGTGGGAAGAGTTGGCCTCACTCGGGCTCGATCGACTGAAGTCAGCATTGCTTGCGCTCGGTTTAAAGTGCGGTGGTACGCTGGAGGAGCGTGCTAGACGTCTGTGGGCGACTAAAGGCAGGCAGTTGGACGAACTACCTGCAGACCTGTTTGTGACGAAGCAGAGGTCTACCAAAGGTTTTGCCAAAACTGCAGCATGGGGTCACGTCCCAGCGTGAGTATCGCCCTACTTCGCCTCATTGGCTTGTTTCATCCGCCACTGAACCATATTACTCGCTTCCTCCATTTTAGTTGTAAACATGTCACTTAGGCTCACCTGATGTTTGTCCACTCTCAAACGATCCTTGCATGCATCCTTTTATAGATCTTATGCACAGAAAAGAACGCTGGTTTGGGCAGACTGTCCATTATCTCATATTTGTCTTAGATGACTCAAAGGCACCCTACGTCTTATTTCATCGTTACAGTTCAGTACAGTACACTTGAACAACTGATCCGAGCATCGGAGTGTGGTGAATCCAGTTGCCACGACTCATCGCAAGAATAACAGTAAATAACAACGCCACGATAGTGGGGTTGAATGTAAATAGAATGTAAGGAAAATGGATGCAACTAGGAGGTGCTTTGGACTAATCAAAAAGGAACGAGGATTAACAAATAGATGCTAGTAGCCGAATGCAGGTACGCCACTGATTGCCTTACTGCGCCAAACATCGGTGTGGACCATCCCGAGACCCCCATCCACTAACTCCCTCTGTCAATTTCTTCAAGCCTCTATGCCACGTCACGGACTGGCCGCCTCGCGGTATCGCCTAACTTAGTGCAGTCACGTCGTATGATGCACGCCGATGAAGTCGGTTAACGGGCATACGGAGGACATGGCCTACACAACGTAAGCGATTAAGAATCAACAAACACTCGATTGGGGCACCAGAAGGCTTCTTGCCAAAAATATACTGGCGGACCTCAGCATTGCTTACTCGGTGTTACCACCAGACGTGCTTGTTCACTGGTATTCAGTCGAGTAGAATGCTTTCAGCATGTCTGCTGAGGGCGATACCAACACCGAAATACTTTGAGCCATTGATTCAATATCGACAGAGATGCGAGGACTGTAGTCACTGTCAGTCGATTGAGAATCAGGAAATGGAAGACTTGTCACGATGCTGTTATCTTGTATGCGTGTTTCGGAGATACAGTAAACATCAATACGAAGGGAGTGAAGAGTGAGAGTTAGTACTGCCTGCTGGCCTATCTGACCTACAGTACGGACATTTCAAAAAATCAATGTGAGATGAAACTCTAGGTCTCACTGAATAGTTACATGTATCGAGGGTAGCAGTTGCGAGGTCAGCGGCAGTCTCTTGCTAATATACGAGGAAGAAGAGAGTTGAGAGGGGATGAAAAAGCAGAGGTGTGGGTATTATCCACAGGATCGAGAGAGCAGATGATACACCCCGGCTGCCCATTTCAGATTTTGTGGACACTGACGTACTGTCATAGTACACCAGTTCAGTTTAGCTCAGAGCCCTGGATGCAGTACATCCAGCTCCCATGACTCGCATCGCCAGGATCCTAATAAACAACAAAGCTAAGGAAGATGAGGTCGTTTGTTAACAGAATATAAAGAAACAAGGTTCAGCAAGAAGGGAATAACATTAGTAGGGATTGTGAGTTAGCGGCTAGATGAAAGAAACCAAATGTGGAAGCACTGTACTCCATTTTAATTATTCTCCCATGATTGTACCTGAAGCCGTTTATCGACGCTCCACCGTCTCCCCTCCGTTGCTTAACTTCTGTCTACTCCCGAAATAACACTACCCAATTCCCATCCGTATTTCAGCGCTCTAAGCGAAAAACAACGCGAAGTCGCGGTGCTTGAGGCGAGGATCTACCGGGCTAGTGAATTGCTGAAGGAGATTCGGGAGGCAACAATAGAAAACGTTCAGCGTCGTCAGGCTCGCGGAGGTTTTGAACGAGATGAGGATGATGCGGACGCAGACAAAGCCGGTGTCGATGGTGATGGTACCGGCGGCGATGATGACGAAAATGACATTCCTTATAATCCGAAAAATCTTCCCCTCGGATGGGATGGTAAAGTATGTTCATCACCTGTCTCCCTACAGTCATTTAATGATCAAAGTGTTCAGTCTGTTTAATCCATATAACAGTTACCAAGTAATCACTATTCAATACTTCGTGAGTTTTATGATAATATCTGGTTTTTGCCCACTCTAAACTCACGAGTCGATGTTTCCGTGTACTTTCGAACACCATAGCTTGATCATTTGCTCTCCTTTGAGGATAGTTCATCTGTGCTCTGTCGCGGAGTGATTGTCTCTAACTCTGTTCTTCGGTGACAAGCGACTTGTGTTGTAAAGGTAGACCATCGGAACATGGACGTGCCCCCGTCATGGTGGTTTAGTGCATATTTGTGGACCGTGTCCACTAATACGGGTGCCGTTGAATCGTGTCAAAAGCTGACTACGTTGGGGCCTTGCATTGAACCACACCAAGTCCTTGACTTCAATGCAATCAAATAAAAACCCATGAATACATTATTTCTTAGCCAAACTTTAACAATCGCTCAGGGGAGTCGCGTTGACGGAGGGCTGCGTCTGACGCATCTTAATTACGGGTTCCGGTGAATTCGCTTCTTATTGACATCTAGTTCACTCATTCTGCTTGGCTAATGCCATCATCATGGTCACTGAGCTAATTCAGTTTTCATTTGACCTTGTCCCACTTGTAGCTATCGTCAGCCTAACTTCATTTTACTCTTCATCTCGCTTTCTCCCATTCGCAGCCTATTCCTTACTGGTTATACAAATTACACGGACTCAACATGTACTACAGCTGTGAAATATGCGGTAATCAGACATACAGAGGCCCGAAGGCGTTTCAGCAGCATTTCTCCGAATGGCGCCATGCCCACGGTATGCGCTGTCTTGGTATTCCAAACACAATTCATTTCGCTCACGTGACGAAAATTGAGGATGCTCTGGCGTTGTGGCAGCGTATCCGAACCATGAAAGAGAGCGAGCGATGGCGACCGGATATTGAAGAGGAATTGGAGGACTCGACTGGTAATGTGGTATCTCGCAAAACGTACGAGGACTTGAAGCGACAAGGACTATTGTAAATACGTTGGTCTCCTGGTCTCGCTGTGAATTTTCTCCAAATACAAAACGCTTTACAGCCAATTTCTTGATTGCTTAATTGATTGAACCCGTTGCTGCTTTGATCGGCTGATGCATTGTACTTCCGGATGTTCCATATTCTTAATGGCCTCATGCTCTGTTTATGGATTCCAAGGATACTATGCCTAAGCTGAATGACCTTGCAGGTTTGTGTTCCCGTAACGGGTGCACTCAGAAAGCCTAGCTCGTGACCATTTCTCAGGCCACTTGTGATCCCACCACCATTCGTAGTGTGGGATTAGCTGCAGTTTCACAAGGGCTACGATGTCCTGTTGCTTCCTCTCTGTTGTCGATAAAAACACCGGAGCTCAACTTGACCGTCTTCTTTCATGTGCTATGAGGAACCATAGAATTGCGTTTAGTTCATCGTGATCGTTGGAAAGGAATGCGGGCCATGTGAAGATCTCCATGATTTAGCTATAGTTTGATTAACTTCCAGAAAACTACTTCGGTTACTCACAGATCCTTAACCATATCTAACACGCCATTGTAAGCCAGTTTACTTTTCGTCCTGATTGGGCCACATCTGTCTCTACAGAGACACCAGCCCAAACGACTTACCATCATAATCCTTCTTGGTTCAAGTATTGTCCCCAACTCCTTTGAGAGCGCTTACTTTCATCACTCCCTTAAGGACGTGATAGGGAAGCTCCTTTCTTGTTACATATCACCTACTGTTTCTCAAATTGCCTGGAGTGTAGTCCTTAATTAACAACAACCAATCCGTGGCGTGATGGCTAGCTGATAGGTGGTGACGCGATTCAGGCGTTTGACTTGTAATTTGCAAGTCACTGGTTCGAGCCCGGGTAGATACGGGCGACGCAGTATCCCAGTCCATATGCAACCGCTAGCAGTCACATGGCAGCAAGCGTGAGTAGGAAGTGCTTGCTTGCCGATGTTGCTCTCTTTGCAACAAGCTAGCATACCTGGTTCCTCGTTCATCTGACTCAGTGTGATTATGATTATACTTCACTACTCACTCCGAGCGAGCGTTAGTTAACAGGAGTAATACTCATCTTTCGCATCCACTACCTTCTTGCAAGCTTGATGTGGTTAGCTGAGGGCTTTCTTCATTGCATATCAAAAAGTTTTGTCCAACCTTTTTCCTTGTCATTCGCAATCCTGAACTTACTTCACCCTACTTTTTAGATTAATATCAGTCTTGTGTAACTCTCACCTCTAGTCGCCCAGACCAACCAGGTTGACTAGTCTATTGGAATGACAACGGACGTTGAATCCTCAAGCACTTTAAAGCCGGAGGAAGCAGTTACGTCTGATCCTTCTTCTAGCAACGAGTCCACAACCGAGCCGTCAATTGTCTCCACTGGCCTAGATGTCCAGGCTGAAAATGATACCGTACGTTCTTCCCCTATACTAAAATTTTGTGTCTGTGGCGGTCAACTTTCCCATAAAACAGAGCATTTAGAGCATCACAGGGGATGTCTCCTAATACCACCCATTTTCACCCACTAGCCAACTTTTTCACAGTCTGATGTTCAAGAGATGTAGGGGGCTAGATTTTGGATGCAGTGATGATCAATACACCGGTAGCTCGGGTTGGCTGTTGAGAGGTTGATTCGCTCACCTAGCTGTATTGTAACCCAGTAGAGTCGAGACGTTTGCCCTTTGCGTTGTGTTTTACATTTGCTGCGTTTTAATTACTCGTGTTTGATGGGAATAGCCGTGCACATTGGATCCATCTACTCCTTTCATGCTACCAAAATTATAACCGGAAAAGCAATGATCCAGTAAGATCCGGAGCTCACCATCCACGGACACAACACGTACTAATCTGGCTCTGCATGTCGGAAAATTTTTTGCCTTGTATTAAATTGCGCTGTAGCCACTCTAAGCTCTCAACCAAGCACTCTTGATCAGCACATGATGTACGCGGAGGAGATGATCAGCAGACATGTGAGGAACGTAGACAGTTCGTGCTCAAACCACCACACATTTCGTTTTCATCAGGCTTGGTACAGAAATATACCTTGAGAAGTGGTTCATTTAGGAACAAGAGAGGAACTATTGATTTTTAAGGTTGACGTCACGTTAACGTCACGTGTCATTTGGTCAAGTGACTGAAGGCATGTGACATCACTGAGTGAGGTCCGATCCATCTCTGTTACTGGTTGGCCAGGGTAGTTGTAATGCTTGTACATGCTGCTTCTGAATGCATAGGTTTGGTTTTGTCAACCTTATGCATACTGCTTCAGCGGTAGCAAGTATCCGAGCCCCTAACCGGTGGTGTAACTGTGTTGGCACTCGATAGAGGATTTCAAATGACTTGCGCTTATCAATCAGATGACTGGTGCATATCTGATGGTGAGTTATGGCACTCAACTTAGTTTTGTCCCGTTGGGCGACGAGCGAGCCAATACACACATTTCCGGTTTTGTGCTAATTGGCCGCAAAAATCACTAGTACATACGCTGACCAATCATGCACGGATGATGACACAATTGAAGAGGAAATGAAACGGATCAGGCAAACACTTCTCGAAAACGGTTATCCAGAACAATTCATTGACGTTCATATAAAACCTAGCAGCCCAAGATCAACAGTACAAACGGTAGAGAAGAAAAAGCTATTTCTCCAGCTTCCCTTTAAAGGTGACATACCGGCTTATGCACACGACGACTGATACAGACTTGCAGAAAACCTTTAATGCAGCTCAACTAAGTGTCGTTTTTACAAGCACTTCGCACTTTGTTCCTAGATTCAAAGACAGGATGCCTGATCAACGCCAATCAAGGATAATCTACCGGTTCACCTGCTCCTGTGGGGCTAGGTACATTGGGCGCACGACCAGGCACTTGGAAAACCGAATCAAGAAACATTTACCAACGTCGTTCGTCGCCCAACGGGACAAAACTGAGTGCCATAACTAATCATCTGATATGCACCAGTCATCTGATTGATAAGCGCAAGTCATTTGAGATCCTCTATCGAGTGCCAACGCAGCTACACCATCGGTCAGGGGCTCGGCTACTTGCTACTGCTAAAGCGGTATGCATAAGGTTGACAACACCAAACCTATGCATTCAGAAGCAGCATGTACAAGCATTACAACTACCCTGGCCAGCCATTAACAGAGATGGGTCGGACCTCACTCAGTGGTGTCACATGGCTTCAGTCACTTGACCAAATGACACGTGACGTTAACCTTAAAAATCAATAGTTCCTCTGGTTCCTAAATGAACTCCACTTCTCAAGGTATATTTCTGTACCAAGCCTGATGATGAATAAATCGAAAACAATTGTTTACTGTAAGCATACTGTTTGCGTTTCTTCTTACAATATACAATAAAAAATGGGCATACTACACGACACCACACATTTCTGCAGCAGTGTGTTAGCTGTCAATTATCAGACAATAGACTCTAGCGTTACTCATTTATTGCCCTCACCGGAAATGCGCGATTCTTCGTATTCACCATTGATTAAAGGCGACCTGGCTCTTGCCGTCTTCAACATACGATGGCAGTGCCTCTGACGCCTGCAGCAATGCAAGACGCGCTGCAGTATTGTAATTTCACTTTTGACCGATAAACGAGCACCACACTTTCAGTATAACGATCAGGACTTTGGAAAACCTGATATTACTATTTTTTCACCGTTTTAACTTCCAGTACTGATGCAACTATTTACGTAAGCGAACTGACCACTTTAAACAACCTTTCAAAACTAGTATGAACCGTTGGTATAGCAGTACATTAAAGGTATGTGGTGCGCTGTTCACTGGGGCTGCTTCTTAATTCCCGGCGCTGAAGCACTAGCACAGCAGTAGGTTGTTGTGAATTACGTTTACCTCTCATGATCAACACTTGTACTTGCGCCAAGTACGCTCCGCATTTCTTATTCGGTGCCTGTTCGGTCGACATTAGAAATTCCGAGCATTCTGGGGAAGTCCGCGGATTGCAACAGTGTGCGTGGCCTGTTAGACGGAAGGGGTGGTACCCAAGCATTCTGCTGTGCATTCACGCTAGAATGTTTTGCTTCAAAATTTTGGAACACGATTGAAATCTAATGAGAAGTCTTAGTTTGGCGAAGTTTAGGAACCATCGGCCTCATTTCCAATCACTTATCGGATTCAGAAATGTAGGTTTGATGACACGCTTTTCGCTGTCATGGTTAATAAATAGTCTGGAATAAGACCTTATTCCATTACTCGAGTGATTTAATTGGTTTATTTGTCCGAGCTAAATGAACTCCAACTGTCCCACATGATGACGCACTATTGGCTGGGACTGATTTTTTCTGAGGTGCGGTCGCTTGTTACGTGATGGTGTTTAGCTAAGCCGAGTGCAATCGTTTGTTGGTTCCTTCGAATGGGCACCGTACTGTGCGAGATTTCAGTAGAATGCCTTGCGACCATGTCCTCACAACTGTGTCTTTTCCAGCTGTTAGTTATCTGGGTTCAAATCGGTTGGCGCCATCTCCGCATAGTGCGCCACACCGTTGGTTCATCGGATGCTGTCTTCCAAGGCTGGTACCGATAAGCTCAGTTCACAGTGTGACGGATGACCGCTTAGAATTTGTTTCGTGTAAAATCATTCCTGTGTTGTATGCTGTTGTCAATGATGATGGCCTATCGGGTTACGCTGAATGCTGACATTTAGGTATTCTGGAGCCAGCTAGAACACCAATCCGTTTTGATGCACCTCTGAACTCATAGCATGCGCGTACTTCGCCATATTGTTTTACTCCCTTGCAGGACGCCCACATGACCAATGCGGCAGCCCCACCAGAAAATAATTTCTACCATCCACCGGATTGGGCTTTGCCCTGTCCTGTTGATTCTGGTTACTACCTTGAGGTTATCAAAAATGGTGTCCCATTGCTCGATTGTACAGTGCAGCTCAGCGGAGTACCATCGGATACGGACACGGGGCTGCAGCCTCTGAGCTTTTGTTTGGTCGGCCGTCAACCACAGCAGTTCTACATTCCATCAGCCCAATTGAAAGGGCAGTGTGCCGTAATGGCTCATCCCTCGGTCAGCCGGCTACATGCTGTATTTCAGTATGGTCAGGCACCTCCTAACATAGCATGCACCTCATGCACATCATCGGAAACGCCTGGATGGTATATCCAAGATCTGGACAGCACGCACGGCACTTTTATCAACAAGGTAACAGTCTCGTACCGTAAGCGTACATGTACGGTGTACTTTCTCTTTTTTGCTGGAAACTAGTTCACTTCTTAGCCCCATTTCTACTTGCGCATTCCATTTGATACCTGAATTCCAGCGTTCGGCTGAAGTCCATGTACCCATTCTCTCATGCATCACTCCTATGCTTGGAACGCTTCTTATTTTGCAGTCTGGGATTGTGTAACAATCGCACCTAGCCCTAGTATCATTAGCAGGATGCAGGTGAATTTCTCTAGCAACATATTAATGGATTCGGGTTTGGAATTGTTCCGTCTCCAATCCGATGTTTTGCCCGCCTGCACAAGCATTTAAAGAAATGTCTGTTAGAACGCCGCCATCTCTCGGATCAGTGCTTTGTTTTCTAATTTCATGCTTCATCTTAACACGCATTCAAATTCTGTACTGACAAAACAGCCCTGTGCGCCACTCATCCGATCTCAGTCGGAGCTTATCGCTTCTACCTAACCTGTGATCCAAATGTTCTTTTTTGTTGTTAGCGGCGCCTCCCCGCTGGACGTTGCGTCCGCGTCCACGTGGGCTATGTGATACGTTTCGGTGGTAGCACTCGTCACTATGTGCTTCAAGGACCGGAGGACGACATAGCGCCAGAGACCAATGAAACATGGACTGAATTGAAAGAGGCTTACTTGGCCCGTCAGCAAGCAGCGCGTGAACGACCAACAATAACAACACCATTGACACAAGTCTCTCTGGGATGTGATTGGGGTATTTCCGGTGAGTCTTTCATCTTGCATTTACTCCTTCGGCCATGAAACTACGGAACAATTAAATAAATAAAATTTTTATTCTCCACAGTTGGAGACACGCCTGCGTAGGCATGGTCATGGATGTACAAAAAACGGTAATGGTATGCATATGTTACACATTAACCGGTTGCAAATTAGATTTAAGGGAAGATATGCATATGTAGATATGTGTGTATGCGGCCATGTTGACTGAAGTTAAGTTAACGCTGCATGTTTGATTGCGTTTGCTCTGGTTGTCAATGTAAGAAGGGATCACATGAACCTTTCGGAGTGAATGAGTGACATCCGTGGGGGGGGGGGTAGGATAACCTTGACGGGCAAGAGTCGATGACTTTATTTAGTGGCGAGTCACATCCGCAATTGCTGTTAAACGGACATTTGTGACTTTTTATAGGAAGAACCTTTGCAAGGCGGAAACCCACCACGTCCTGAAACACTGCCGCCGAACCACCCAGCTGGCACCACGAGGAGTTTGTTCGGCAAGCCAGCCAAGAATACGGTCATTTTCGGATAGTTTGTCGGAATCCTGTGTGGTAGTTTTGTCAGTCAGTTGTTAGTTGCTAGCCATTGGCGCGGCTCATTTGATATTTAAACGAAAACCGGTGTGTTTCAGGTAGTTCGGCACTTACTAGTTTAGCTCGCTCCCTACTCCATTTCTTGGGCATCCGTGTGTAGGGGCTCAATCGTTTGACTTGTACCCGCTTCCTTCCCCGGTTCGGGTCCCTTTCTCTGCCTAGATTTGAGCGCCTCTACTGGATCTGCCGGCCCGTGGCCTTAAGGTTCACAAGCCTTTTCTTGTATGCTGGGGACGCGGGTTCGAGTCTGCGTACGTAACTGGGCGACCATCGCAGTATCCTTTGCCTACACCTGACTGGCGGTGGTTGCGCAGCAGCGAAGCGTCGGTACGGCGTACCGACGTACTGCTGATGCCTTTTCCAATGTATACGTACTTCCGCTTGCAGGTTAACCGCAACGGAGCACCAGCACAAAGCGCTGCTGTAATGCTGAAGCCATATTTTTCACCTACTGAGTGAACCCGGAGTGGACTGGTAGCATGAAATAAGCTTGGTAAACGGCTAGCTAGAGTGTACCTGATTTTCATTGAGTAAACATTCTCCAATACTCCTTCCTCTTGTTTTCCTCCCCTTTTCTAAATTCTCCATGTAACTCGTCCGTTGTACCACTTCACATTGGTTCGCTTAGGGTCCACATTCTAGGTCGCCTTGACCAACAGGCAGCACTAACTCGCGCTCTTCACTCTTTTGGTATTGTTGTGTGCTGTGTACACGGAACACGCATACAAGATAACAGCGTCGTGACGAATCTTCGACTCCATAGTTCCGAATCTAATAACGATGACTACACTCTTCGCGTCTTTGTCAATAGTGAGTCAATAGCTCAAGGTAATTATGGTGTTAGTATAGATCTCTGCACACATGCTGAACCCAGTCTACTGGACAGGATACCAGCGAACAGCCGCATGTGCGCGATTCGATTCCAAACCTCTACTGGGGCTAATAAGCACCGTCTAAAGACAAGGCGCCTTTTCATCGCCTCCGTTTATACTTCGACGGAATGCAGTTCAGAGAGCATCAGTGACGATTCCTATCGACAGCTCTTATCTCTTCTTCGCATGGTGAAGAATACCGACATTGTGATTGTTGCTGTTGACATGGATGCCCTTGTGGGTCGTCTTTTAGACTCTGAACAGCACCTGGGAGGGCACTTCGGAACCGATGCATGCAGAACAGACAATAGTGATCGATTCCTGCACCAGTGCGCTGACCACAATCTTTATATTAGCTGCACTGCTTTCCAGCACAAACGTTCACATCGCATCACCTGGCGCCCACCGAATTCTTCAATAGCCTGGACCCTAATTGACCATATTGCCATCAGCTACAGATGGGGCACATCGGTTCAAGACTGTCGGTCAGTTCGGAGGAGTTATCTGGATTTCAACCATACTTTAGTGTGCGCACTGCTGGCGCTCACTCTTCCGGCTTCAAGGAAGCTTCTAAGTTTTTCACTTGTACCTTGATATCGCAATTCAAAATCCAACGATACAATGACGAGCTAGCCAAACGCTTATCAGTGGTGAATGCGGTGGACGAGTCTAACACTGACCAGAATTGTCTTAAGTTCGCTATGAAGTATGCTTTTGACGCCTCCTTGAGACGCCAACTTGAGACGTCGTAACTTTGAATGGGTTTTTGAAACATCCATCGGTTTCATCAAAACGCATAAACAGGTTCCGATAGGCGCTTAGTTTCAGCCTATCCGTAACTCTCTGTAACGACTTCTGACAAGGAGTCTTCGAATCGATCGGGAATGTTGGTCGGTTGCAAAGGCCTGTGAGATGGAGAAAGCCAGCGCTATTTGAAACAGCCGGGTGCTATTTCATTTCATCCTGAACACGGGTCCGAAAAGGCCATCAGTTAGCGAGACAGTAGCTGAGAAAGAATGACTGTTGATCCATTCTCAGCGTCGTCAATTAGGCCGTTGGACGGAACATTTTGAGGAGAAGTTCAGCAGGCCTGATGCGACACTACCGCTTGCCGAACCATCTGAACTGACGTGGGAAGTTGATGGTACATCTCACTTTGGGAGATATTTAACGTGAGCTTGCCGTGTTGAGACCAAACAAACCTCCTGGACCCGACAACTTTTTCCATCTTTGCTGTAAGATGCAGTTAATTTTGTTGTTCGAAATAAGTTCGACGGACTTCGTGCGAAAATCATCGAGGCATTCGCCTTGTTTCCATTGTCACGGGTATCATTTATCCTCGTGAGAGCCGAATCGTTAGAAGCCAGGTTGGATTCCACCCTGGTCGTGGTTGCATTGACCACATATTCACTCTTCGACAAGTGTTGGACCAGAGGCACATCTACCAACAACTGACTATTGTACTTTTCTGTGACCTGAAAATGAGTTTCGGCTCTGCTGATCGTACCAGCTGGTGACACTGCATATTTGTGAAGTTTCTGTACCACGACTCCTGAGACCTAGTAAGAGTCTATGGGAAACTGTCTCCTACCGGCCCGTAACCTAAAGGTAACGAGGCTGCCTTGTAATTTGACAGCGCGGGTTCGAGCCTGCGTAGTTGCAGGCCGACCCTCGCAGTATTCTTAGCAGGCGTGCAACCGATGGTGGTTGCGCGGCAGCGAAGCGTTGATACTGCGTAACGGCGTATTGCTGATACCTTTCTTTTCTTCTCTTCTCCTGAGTTCCTTTCGACAAGTGGGATTCGTTAGGGTTGTCCCGTACCTACTTTTCTATTCATCTTTGTGATCGAAGGGATCATAGATTTTCACTGTTTCAGCCTCTTTCGGAGCCGACGTTCTATCAGGTAACCGACTGATAAACCTCGAGTATGTGGGCTGCATAATTCTCCTAGGATCCGGCGCAGCGGATATGCAAGCACTACTGAATAGACTGGCGTGTAGTGATGCGCCTTCAATGTTCAAGGTGTTGTTGCGGAATTGAACGTTGCGCCGCCGTTTTTAGCCTTCAGCGAACAGATAGCGGAAGTTCACTTTCTTTAGCGATTGTATCCACAGTTTCCCGCTTTATGGCCACCTAAACAGTCCTACCAGATTCAGAAAGACAGACAAGCCACCCCTACTAGACCGGATATCCTCCAGCGAAGACCTGGTCGAAATGGCGATCATTGATACTCCTCTAGGCCACAGTGATTATGTGACCTTGCTCTTCTTGTACGCCTGCTATACAGAATACACCGGGAAGAATACCCAAGCGACACGGACCATAACGCGCTACGATACGTCAACTAAGCTAGTTGAAACGACTCATCATCATCATTATACGCCACGTTAGTTGAAACGACTAACCGGAATTTCTTAGCCTAGGATACAACGAATATTGTCTGGGAAGGTTTCATCATCAAGTTTAACACCTTGGCTGCTGCTGCATCGGAAACTACAGCTATCCATTCGAGGAGTATGGTCTCGTTTGTACGGAGTGGAGGACAAAATTGTACGGCGCCTCAAAACGCAGCATGGCACGCTCACAAAACCGGTCCGAACTCGAACACCTGGAAGACCTACTTTGTCCACCGCAACCATTGTATCCAACTAGTGCATGAGGACAAACTTGTATATCAACAGGCTTTAATAGCACAATTTGTTTCTTACCATAAACTCTCGTACAGGCATGTGAATCGCCTTCGCAAGGTGAAAAAGGGATTTCCTCCTCTTATAACTGCGATGGACCAACACGGACCGCCAAAGAGGCAGCAAATGCCCTGCAGCAGCAATGAGCACCAACTTTTCAATATGGTCCATTGTATCCTGGTTCATTAGAATGTACTGTGCTTTACCAAGATTTACTCATATCCACTTTACGGTAGACACTGTGATGAGAAAATCGTAATCTATGCGTCGACACAGCTCTCTCTGATTTGGTGATATTCGCCCGAAGATGTCTGACGTTGCAGCTAACAAACCGGTGGGACCTTTTGGCGCGATTCTTCCAGCCCTGCCTTGACGAGATGCATGTTCCTACTGCATGGAAACATGCCCTTATAGCTACAGTATACAAAGGAGGCAGTTATTCCTACACATCCTGTGGTTCTTCATCCATTTCTTTCAAGTCATGGGAGACTATTGCTGACGCGCTCATGTCTTACCTTGACGAACTTGGCTGCATCGCGCAACACAGTTTCCACCAGAACCGCTCGTGCACTGCCAGTCTCCTGTTAGCACGGGACAGTTGGATGGGCACAATGGATTTTGGTGTAAGAGTTGCAGTTGTTTACCTCGACTTCTCTAAGGCATTCGACCGATTGAATCATTGCATCCTTCCAGCCAAACTTCAGGGATACGACATGAGTGATCCCCTTCTAGGGTGGATCAATAACTACTTGCACAGACATCTGAAAGTGAAAGTACACGAATCTGTATCAAATCAAATACAACTGGAGTGCGGTGTCCCACAAGGTTCGGTATTGGATCCCGGACTGTTCTTGATTTTCACTAATAATCTCGTAAGCTCAATCACTTCACACTATGTGCTTTACGACCACGGCCGATCAAAGCTCTAGGCGACGGCATACAACTTCAATATAACGACAAGATTTATGAATGGTCAGTCCAGAATCGTGTTTAGTTCAACGTGACTAAGTGTCTAGTACTTTATCTACGGCATCAAATGGTTCACACCTATAAGCTGGGCGACCAGGAATTCCAGCAGTTCTCGTGAAAAATTATCGGTATATTGATTCAGAAAGACCTTGGTTGTTTGGAATAATGTGCACTTGAATCAAAAAGGGCATCCAGAACTTGGAGCCCTTAAAGAGCTTTTGGTCACTTCGACCCATCTATTTTTCCCAGCTGCTTTCTGTATACATACGTCCGCGCGCGGTATATAAGATTCAGGCATGGCAGCCATGACAAAAGCTGGATCTTGCTGTCTTTGAAATTCCACAACATCGGTATACCAAAAACGTCAAAAGGCTATACCATTTACCTTACGAACAGCACCTGAGTATTTTTGGAGTATTCAGTGGACGCTATCGGCGTTTGTGTAGTGACCTTATCGTGGTTTTGCCGGATTTTAAGCTACCCTAACCACTCGTGCTATCAGATACCGAAGTCCACAGACTGAAAGGCCACGGTCTCAAACTGGCAGAACAATACAGCTCGCTAGAGTGTAAACGGAATCTCTTCTCGCTACGTATTTGCCACATATACAATTCAGTCCCAGAGCCGATTATTACAACCCCCTACAAAAGCTGCGTTCAAAGATCGTGTCGACAAAGCGCTGGTCGCGTTACACCCCATCATATTGCACACACGAACCATACGCACATTCAGTAAACAAGACAGCATCAACCCACACCTTATTTTCTGGTAAAGCCAAAGTCGGTGACATTTATACTTGCATAAAACCATATATGAACGGTTCGGACGGACAAATTTTTCTCCGCAAGTCCGCTGTTTTTGATTTCCCTGTTTACAGTCATTTTTCAGTTTCTTTTGAAAATCCTCACTCACCATCATGCGCAACATGTTAAGCTTCGGCTTTTTTTCCACAATATACCATTGACCTCTGGTGGTCACTTCAGTGAGGAAGATCCTTCGTGTATCAGCTAGGCCCATGTAGTATTTCAGAGGCTCAACCATCTATGGCGACGGCGGGATATCAGCCTGCAACTGAAAGGTAGGGTGCATAACGCTACGATAAGGCCAGTACTGCTGAACCATTACTGCCAGTCAGGAATTTGTCCAAATACAACTGTTTTGGGGCAAGCTCAACTAAAAACAAAATCCACCTTTCTAAGAAGATGAAGTCGATCATAAGAAATATGACTCAGAAATGCATGGCAGCGAGGGACTCGACATGTCTTGTCCACATAGCCTACCGATCGAGAGATCTGGAATGTCCATAAAACACCAAGGAACAACTGCATCAAACTCGTCCAGGACGATAAAGAAAAAAAACCAAAATTGCTGGTGAAAAAATTTTGCTCTAACGCAAAGCTACCACATAGACAGCTAAACAAATTTCGCAGTGATAAACGCGGAACTCCTGCCTTCCACAGGGAATGCGGGCTAACAAAACCGGCACATGTGAAGCCCACCATTGTTAGACAACAATTTTGCCGTAGTTTCTAAATGGCACAACCACCTTAACTACTGCTTACGCAGATCATGCTGACACATATCGTTTGCAACCACAGCTGTACTAAAGTGGCTGATGTACTTGCGCCTGTACAGCTCGACTGGCGCAGACGGTATTTGGTCGTAAGCGTTGAAAGTTGCTGCTGTGAGTTTAGCTGAACCGTTAGCAATATTTTTTCCACGATATCTTGAAAAGAAGCACATCCACACGATGTGGAAGCTTAATAGCATCACTCCAATCTACCTTATTGATGGCCGTGTGGAGCCAGCGAATTATAGCCCGATAACAATCCTTCCGATGAGTTCCAATTTCATGGAGTCCATTGTAGCTGAGGCTTACATGGACGCATTACTCCAACCTTTGGGACATCTACTTTACAAAATCTTCTAGTTGAGCTTATGCTTTGGTTATTGTCCCGATCCCTGATTTTGAAGCCTTCGAAATGTCGTGACTTAACATTTTCGTTTCTCGCAGCTGGCAAGTTACAAGTTGTTCTGGACGCCACTACTCCATTAGCAGTGAGTAATCAGTTCATACCCAGATCAACTATTAAATTTCTAGGGTTTTAATCCCGAAACTTATCTTGGTCTATACACGTTGCCGAAGCCTTTTCTAAAGTTAGACGCTTGCCCTTTTATGCTTTTCGACTTAAAGTACTTTCAGTACCCCGTGATTTGATTCTTAGATTCATGACTGTATACTGCCACATTGGCTCTACTGTTCCCCTGTACTTCTCTCTGGGTTACACAAAACGACTATACATTGATTTTACGGTGAATAAAGCTTATTTCCAGATACAACGGATTGTCTAGAGAGTCCCTTTTGGATTCTGTTATATGCACCTAGGCTTTTGTACCAATTTCTAATCAAAAATTCTAAACGACCGTCTTCATTCACTACCTTGTGCCCCATTAAAAACCTTATCTATTTCCTCTACCCGCTCGAAATTTATGCAACAGTAATTTCATGTACATCGCCATCCGCAATGATAATCTAACATGCTAAAGTGCACCTACCCGGGTACATAAAGCCTACTTTGACTTGACTTATGCCATACGAGTCGCTCTGATTGATCTTACATGACAGGCACCATAACCTTGCTGGTTTGTTACTTTGCGCTTTTGAACACTTGTCAGCAGCTTCGATTCTAACGTTCTCTCATCACTTCATAGCAATCAAACCGAGTCTACTTACTGGGAACCCGTTGCTCGATTGATTATACCACCGTATTGTTCTTTTACTCCACATGCCCGAATCTTTACATGTTCATTACTTCTGCCAACATTCACACGTATGCGGACGATGTAACCGTGTTTATGGGCACACTTGGCACGTGTGTTCACATAAAAGTCTCATGCACTCTTACAGCTGAGGATGCAAACACCGATGGTCCGAATTTCGCGGCTGCGGTTAATGGGGCCGCTTGCCTGAGCTACGAGAGACTGTATCAAGATGATCCGAAACGAGCTTTAAAAGCCTATTTTGAACGTGAAGGCATTGAGCCAGCTCCTGAATACGAGTTCGTGGACGCATCGTTTGGCAAGCAGCATTGTAAAATTGAGTGAGTCCTTATCGTATCACAAGTTATTCAAAACCAAACCAAGTTCTGAGCTTTATCTGCATTGGCATGTTTTTGTTACGTACAGCCAAGTATACTCCTCAGACTGACTGCGCGCATAACCTGTCTTGTTGCCGCTCCCCGGTTGTTCCTGGGCGATTAACCTGGATTGTCTTATACCTGACATTTACACTCGTGTAATTTATCAGCCCTGTTTGCGCAATATGTATTCTCCAAAAAACTGCTAGTCTTCCCTGGGTACGATGTTTCTAGACTCAGCTAGTGCTTCTGTCAGTGAAGGTCTGCGGCCCAGTCACTGAATGGCGATTCCCTAATTTTTGCACGACTTAGTGATAAGCACGGACCCCGTAAGTCAACTGATAGTAGACCGCATATACTCACACAGATGTGGTGCATCTTTGATCTTTGGGAATTGCCATGACTTTAGATAAATAAATAACTTTTATTTCTCGGCGATGCGAGAGACTATCCTCACATAGTGAAAGATTAAATATTTACACCTTTTTCATTTACTCCCCTCTACATATTAGATGGGAATATGCATTATGTCATATCCATGTCAGTTTCACACATGCACGTTGTTCAGGGTGAAGTGTAGAACATTGTGCTAGGGTTATATCGTCCGTTAACGGATGTCCCGTCGATCTGAACCAGTGCAATCTGACCAGAAGGCAGAAATGGGACTTTCGTGGATGAGACATTCTTTCAAACTCCCGCTGATGCGCAATTCAACTTCATCGATCGATTAAAACACGTTCAGAAGTCCCAGTTCGTAGTGGACTCAGAGAGGAAATAATGTAAACAATAGTATCAAGGTAGGTAAGAAACGGATATAAAATGATTTCCAGTAAAATTAAATAACGCGTGTATACCAAAAATATAGACATCAGTTTGCAAGGAATACCGAAAATTTGGCAAGCGTTCTTGTAATTTCCGTAGTGGTTGTTTTGGGACATCTAAATTGCGGACTCATGCCGAGAGCCTTACCCTTTGAGAACAGTACTACAGAATGAAACGAAAGTTCTAATAACAACAGACTCTAGCGCTAAGCACAACGCGAGCGAAATGTGCATCTATTAGAATGAATCAAGTGAGGCAGAATCTGAGTAAAGAATTCTTTTCGGTAATTCTCATCAGACTCAAACATTACATGATGAGGAAAAAGTGCTAAATGTGCCGGATTGGGCTACGTATTGAACAAAATGTTTAATTTCACGGGTACAGATCAATAAATCACGGGGTCATTGGAAGTGGGAAGTGTGTACAGGAGAAATCATAGCCGAAGTTGTAGGCCACGGTAGAAGCAAAGGACGTACAAACTGTTTTTGTACGCACAGTTCTGGCTTGAGGTGGCGGATGTAGATAGCTTCCGCAATAGACAGAAGATGCGTCCGGAATCCGCGCGTGAAACGTTCAGGAACAGTATAGATGACTCTAAAATCATTTTCCGTTCCTGCGTGACTGCACTCTAGTAGGTGAGATAAGATGGAACTGTTGCTGGACCTCGCTTCGCCTTTGTAAAACCACTTTGGTTTTACAAAGGCGAAGCGAGGTCCAGCAACAGTTCCATCTTATCTCACCTACTAGAGTGCAGTCACGCAGGAACGGAAAATGATTTTAGAGTCATCTATACTGTTCCTGAACGTTTCACGCGCGGATTCCGGACGCATCTTCTGTCTATTGCGGAAGCTATCTACATCCGCCACCTCAAGCCAGAACTGTGCGTACAAAAACAGTTTGTACGTCCTTTGCTTCTACCGTGGCCTACAACTTCGGCTATGATTTCCCCTGTACACACTTGCCACTTCCAATGACCCCGTGATTTATTGATCTGTACCCGTGAAATTAAACATTTTGTTCAATACGTAGCCCAATCCGGCACATTTAGCACTTTTTCCTCATCATGTAATGTTTGAGTCTGATGAGAATTACCGAAAAGAATTCTTTACTCAGATTCTGCCTCCCTTGATTTATTCCAATAAATGGGAATTTTTGGATTGCTGAGGAGCAGCATTCCCCGTGATTCAGTCAAGCTTTTGAAATGTGCATCGTTTGTTAGATGACAACATTTCAGTGTGACGCAGCTATAATAGCAAAAGCGACCTAGTTGATGGTAACCTAATTTTTAAATTGTCCAACGAACTCTAAAAAGTGTGGCATAGCACAATAACATATGTGTTCATGAGTTGTAGTGGAAATCTTTATGTCCGCCATACTCCGGATTATTGTGGAAGGGAGTAAGGCTTGTGTGCTTCCCCAGCCATCACCTCTGTGGTTATTCTGAACGATGTTAACTTTCATCACGCCAGGGTATAGTACGAATAATGGTATAAGTGTGGAAGATAAGGTATCTGAAAAATAGGAGCTGGGTGTCCACCCATCACTGAGCCTGGGATTTAACAAGCGCATGGTGGGAAATGGAGCCAGCTAAAAGAGAATTTCATGGAGATGGCCAGTGTAGAGTGTGGAGGTGGTCGAAAATCCTGGAAATATGGCTATCCGAGATGACAAGGGCCACTCTACACACGATTAACTTTCGGTCCAAGTTAAATGAATATGAAATATTGAAGAGCAAAATGATAATAAGGTCCGGAAAAGGATCTGGCTTCTTATACTACCAATCCGCCAGTGTTGACATTGGCAGATGGCGAGCGTTCAAGTTTGATAAAAGTTAAGAAATGGTGAGAGCCAAAATTAGGTGAAGTGGTGACAAAAACCTGGGTCACATTTGTTGTTTCATCAGAGGAATAGTTAAGCAACTATCTGGAATGTCATGATATGGTGTACCGAAGTGAACTTATTTCCAACCAAGACAAGACAAAAAAGGACGATCATAACTAGTGCAGGACGGTTAGGAGAACCACTGAGACGTAGTGAACCGAAACCTTCTGATGTTAGGCAACCCGGTAGCCCAAGTGTGGCAAATAAAATATTGGACATAGAAAAAAAAGAAAATAAAAGGACAGATAAGCAGGGTCAGAAGTTAATGTACAAGGTGAGATTTAAGCCGAGCAGAATTCTGAACGTAGTAGCTATAAGGCTCGACCTTTAAAGTCCTATGGGACCTCTCTCATAAATATCGTCCAGAGATGTAGATTCGTTCCGTATACGTAATACCTCATCTACGGTGAGGTCGTTGAATACTTGAGCTCGTTTGTTGCATCTAATGGATTCGGGCAGCTTATTCCATAACGTTGTATACCTTATGAGAAAGAATTTGGCGCGTAAACTTGTACGCACTCTTGGGACGCAGAAGCTGGATGACGTATTTCTAGTTGGATATTGATGTGTAGTGCCAAACTGGACAGTATATGGCTCCCCAGAACTGGTATGAGCTAAATCAGACAGGGAGATAAGATTAATCTTAATTCTTCTCAACCATAATGGTTCTAGCTTCAGCAATTTACACCGTTGTTGGTAAGTCAGGGATCCAAACCTAGTAATTGTTTGATAAAGGAACCTTGTACTTTTTCAAGATGGATTTTGTCGTACATTTTTAGTTTATAAATACTAATGGTCAGTATTCTAAGACTGGACCCGCATATGCTTTATACATAGCTAGCCTAGAGTCTTTCAAGCATAATGTATTGAAAATACGTGCTATGATAAATCTCGCTTTGGCGGTGACATGATGTACCTGTTCGGAGAAATTGAAAGAGCTTGAGTAGCGAACTCCGAGGTCACGAATCGTTGTGCAGCAGGTAATTGGTTTATCATCTAACCTCAGTATGTCATTAATAAGGTTGCATCTGAAGAATAGGACTTTACATTTGCCAACAGAGGATGTCCTTTTCCACTTTCGGCACCACCGCTGAAGGGTGAAGAGTTCCATCTGTGTTGTTTGAGCACCGTTTGGTTCATTTATGTTATCAAAAGCGAACACAGCTTTGATATCATACGCAAAAAGAAAGGGTCCGCCATGTCGAAAGATTCGGAAACTGTCATTTTATGTATAGTAGGAATAGCAGTGGGCCTAAAACGCTTCCTTGTAGGACGCCGCTGGTTACCCTTATTTCATTTTGATAAAATGTGAACCGACCTCGAGTCTGTTTTATTTCCCATTGACAGCCGCTGGTTCTGTTCCTTCCAGTTTTGGAGTAGTTGGTGCAGGATGAGCCATTTGTTGTCATGTTCCATCACGTTGGTATGCTTATCCGGGAACAACGCTTACCGATGTGTGTGATGGTATATCGCGTTGATCCGCAAATGCCTCTAGCGTTATCGGTTTGCGCACATCCATCCGTTTCTGTTTACCTGGTTTTACCACCCATCTCTCATTATGAGCCAGTGTGATTTCTATGTGCCCAGGATTGACTGTGTTTTGTCTACCTTTCCAGACCTATCGTATACGAACGGTTTTATTCTCCGTTACAGCCTCCCTTTGGCCACCGGAACGGTTACAGCAGAGGTTATTGTCTCTGGAAAACGGAAGGAAGCTATGGCCGCATGTGCACTTGAAGCCTGTCATCTATTAGACAGGCTTGGAGAATTCGATCCAAACAAGGGTGAGTAGAATGGATATTTCGTCTCTCTTCACTTTCTTGTTGCACTGGGAGATTATCGTGTCGATTACACATCCCGCTTCTTGATGTTTGACTCATTTGCGCGGTACAGTCTCGTGTGCTGCTTTACGATGTTCCTGTTGATGTATAAATGAGGTTATATCATTACGGGGACATGAGCTTAACGTATCCTGCGGCCTCAGCCTATATCGCTCCATCTTGATTTGAAATCACCGTGCTTTGAGCGAAATAGTCCACTCGTTGCTCATTGATGACAACACTCTCAACACATGATGATAGTATTGAACCCTCTTGATTACCGACGGGAAGGCGATAGACCCACACTGCTATAGACGCTGATATACACATTCATTTCTCCCTCTCCCCCATCGTACTTACCTACAGCGTTATATTGAATTTATCAACACGTTTTTCCCCGCGGAAATAATATGTTTCTTGCCACCGAGTGTTCCTTCTATCATTTCACCATACACACTTGTGAAGTGTGCTTGTTTTCTACCACATTGCAGACTCTTCAGCTAATGCGAAGCGCATTCGGTCCAAGGAGTATTGGCAGGAAAATGATTACTACTCTTCCGATGAAGACCCCTTCGTTGACCGCACAGGACAGATTGAGATGAAACGACTGAGCCGCATACGACAGCTGGGCGTGGAAGGTAAAGAAGCTGAGGATGCTGAAAAGAAGGTCGCTGAAATCACCAAAGCTGATAAACAACCCAGTAACCGCCTAGACCACGCGACCATGTTAGCCTTAGTGAGTTGAGTGCTACTTGCCTGCTGTTTGTAGTCTCCAACTTAAAGTGTCAGAGGGCATGATTTCCACAAGTTCTCATGCTGCCCATTAGTTCTCTTTTTAGTAGCATGCAGTGTCCGTAACTTCCGGTTTTCTTTTGTATCCATTATCTTGCGAAATTACTTCCACTCGTAGGGATTACCAGCTTCGCGTTTTCCTTGCTTTCACATCGACCAAGAAACCAGTTTCGCTCTTTTATTGGTTACCTCACGTTGACTTCACGGCTATCATACCTGATGGCTTTAATTATTTCAATTGGCTAGTCTGACTTTCACATCATTCTCTAAAAATTAGTAGTTACCCAAGTTAGCATATCATGCCAGTTTTATGAGGAAACCTGTGTCTTTGGAGGCCAATCCTCTGCGCTCTGGGAATGTGTATGGCAGAGGTGGATTAGTCCATCAATATCACAGCCAGCCACTTGGTCATGGCGGTTGCCGCCTTCCCACGAAGACTAGTGATCTTCACTGCTGTCTCAAAAGAAAAGCTTTGTGTGTTCTGCCCCTTCACCAGGTAGATGCAACGCGCGCGCCATTAACGTATCCTGAAAGAACTGAACGTCATTCCATTGGCTTTCGGACTGAGAGTGTAGCTATGACAAATCCTCTGAAATTAACCCATATCCCTTCTTCACTAGTTACTGAAATTCCTAATCATTGTTCACCTACTTTGGTTTATTATTCGTCTCTTATTATTTTGGTAACGTGAGTTTAAGCAATCCGATCCAGCACATCCCACTAATCAACTGAACTGACCGAAGCTGTAACCAAAGATCTAGCCTTCACTATTTTTCCTAATGAACAAATTTGGACTACTTCCCGTTTTGGTTGTGCCCTATTTGGTATGGCGACTATGTTACTGGGCTCTCAGCCACTTGCGGCCAATTCGACGGTTGCATCACATTGCTGCTTCTCCCCTAATCATCCCGCCTCATTAGCAGACCTACTTTGTTCTTTGTGGAGTCAGAAAATATACTTCGGTTTAAACTTTGGTCCTGCAGCACACATTGTCACATAGCTTACTGTGTGGGGAAATCAAACATGTTACTAGTGGCGCATGCTTCTTTGATCTATGCCATCCCCTTGACACATATCTTCCGGTGAAGTCTTTGTGAATGGATACTTCTGAGATGTCGATGTTCATATGAACCCAAACGTTTGGCACCAAACATGTTGCTCTCCACTAACACTTCACTACACCATCGGCGTTCTCCCTCTTTGTACTCTTCAAGTAGGAAATGGAACACCGGACGCAGTGATTCACGGTTGACGCTTTGATCATTAGGCTACTGTGTTTAGCTACTTGTCTCTCCCCGACGGTTTTTGTTCTCAATCACTAGAAGCAGCTAGCCTCTTTGCGTCTGCTTCTGTTGACCATTCGTTCGTAGCGTTGTATTTACACAGTATCAGTTGCCCCGGAGGCGATGTGGTAAATCATCTACTCTTCCGCTTCTGAGCCAGTATATTTATCTGCTGGTACTCACCCACCTTTCCATGCGCTTCATTGTAAGCTTTTTGGTTATGCCTCTGCACAGAGTCGCTGTTGCCACTCAAATGATACTGTTTTTCAGTGCATTTTTCCTTTTTGAGAAAAATGGTTTCTGATTTTAAACTCAGCTTGACAGTATTTGCAGTACCAGAGTAATGCCTGCGTTGTGAAACGGTTGAGCTGTTCTACGAGTTTGATATTTTAATTGTAGACGTTTCAACACCAGGCGAGCCGAAATCAACAGTGTCTGGCCAACTTTTAAGCTTGAACTCATCAATTTCCATTGACTTCCGTAGCTTTTGTATCTAAACACGCAATGGTTTACGCATCCGTTGTAAAATCTAGCGGAAAATGTAATCTAAAGGCTAGGTTCAACTGCTGTGTTCTACATCCTTTTGGGTCCAGAAATGAACTACGGGAAAATGCATCCGGTTGGGCTCCCAATCTCCCTTGGTTACAAGCCTGCAGTTAATGATCGGTTCTCATTTTCTCTTCGCTCTTCTTTTCGGAACTCTTTTAGTTACATCCTTCCGACAATCCAGTAGCTCTGGACTCGCTCAATATCTCGCTGAAGGAAGAAAACAACGCACGCATTCGTGATATCGTCAGGTTGCCCCACTCCATACAGCTTAACCCAGCATCCCTCACCCTTATGTTGGCTGAATGAAATGCTGTCCTATGTTGAGTAGATATATTGTGTACCCCTCATTTTCGCGAAATACTGATCTCACAGGTAATCGAATCATGTGATTGTAAGCAGCACCTGTTATCTTAATGCTAAATTGTTATTGGCTTTTGGCGCGGATGTGATTCAATTCCTACTGATTCTATTGTTCATTTGTTCGGCAGTTGTCAGATTTGGAAAAAGTGGGCCAAGAGATAGTTTCTTTGGAGGAACAGCTGGATCAGATCAACAAAAGTACGTCACATTGAAAGTGAAATGTTGTACATTTGAATAGCCTTTAAAAATAGAAGCCCCATAAGTAGGCAGTGATTTCGTACACTGGTTCCAAGCGTTGCCAGGCGAGTTCGCTTTGTATTTATGTGTCCGGAAATTCTCAAGCTGTTTCTTAGAGTTCTGTGGCGAACTTTTTAAATTACCCCACATTCGTTATCGAAACCAGTTCTGTGGCCCCAGTGCGTAGTGAACTTCATTGTTACCCAATGTATGCTGGAATATCGCACGCCTACGCGCGCATTCAACCACTTTCGAGGTCCAGAGCTTTCGGCGAGTTCAGTGCCTAACCATAACTATAATAACGGTGATGATATCTTCATCATCATCATACACGTTAGCTAGAAGTGGGGGACACCTCAGCTACTGTGCCGCAATACACAGAAAAAGGAGGGACGGTGTTGATAACGAAGATACTACTACTACTAATATTATTATTATTATCACTATTACTGTAAACCTTAGTTGCAGGTGGGAAACACTCCAGCTATTGTGCCGCAATACGAAAGACAAGAAGAAAAAACAGAGGCACGCCGGCTGCGTCCCCAGTAACGGATGGATATTGTTCCGGAGAGCTAACAGCCGGCTATCGTGCCACGGAAGTTATATTATGCCTAACGAATGAGATCGTGATTGGAGGAGGAGGCTAAGCAGGAGAGGGATGGACAAAGGAACTTACAACACAAACGCCACTGGGGCCAACTCCTAGCCATATCCGCAAGTGTGTCCAGACGTGTTCATCGTCCTTAGGACCCCAGTCAGGCAGTTGGGATGCACCAACCGACGCCAACTTCGAAATGAGGGTTTTCATTTCTCTCGACCAAGTCATCGCTTGGCCTCCCCTCCTTCTCTTCCAACCGCACTTTAGGCGCGCAAACATTGCACGTCGCGGAAGTCGGTGTGCTGGTATGCGCAACACGTGGCCCAGCCATCGGAGCCTGGTACGTGACGTAATGGTGCTGAGCGGTTCACTAACTCTTCCTACATGAAATACGCGACACCGAACACGCTCATTGCTCACGCGGTGTTTCCACCAGACATGTACTAAGCTGGGGAGGCAGCGATGATTGAACGTGGCTAGCCTCTTTAATATTAATATTAGGTCCTCACTTCTCTATTGCGCCTGAAGTGTCGTCACTCTTTTTTCATTTTTCCCTCTATATTGTCTACGCTGCGGCTTCACATGTACGCCTAAACTATGGTATTTTCGACACATCATATTTTTTCGCCTGTGACAAGCTTATACATGTTTTAATGTTCAAGAGGCACATCATCTCTTCCTATCTGTTCCCCCCAGGGTTTGCACCACAAGGAGAGAATCCGTCGGAACTAGACGAATTGGAGGCTTACATGAACGGGCTTAAATCAGGTATGTGAATTGATACCACCGTTGTTTTCGTCACTATACACACTTTCCTTTTGTCGATTTTGCAGCCGGTTTACTGATTGCGTTTCTAATTTGTGGAAACTTGCTAACCTCTACGCATTTTTCCTTCGAAATAAAGATATGTTCGCCGTTTGCGCACCTTAAATCCGAGATCGAGATTACGTGCTGTAACCCTATCACGCAACGGACACTAGGATTAGCGCACGTCAAACGTGTTCTTATCCGCAACTATAAGCGTCATACAGAGAGCTTTGCACTCTAATAGTTTTGGCATTAGTCCGGGAATCCCGACAACCCCGGTTTTAACCTCAGCCGATGATAAAACTGGTTGTGGAATTCGCGCCTAAAAGTACAATGAGCTTCCACACACCCTTATTTTTGTATACTATGAAGTAGGTGGCTTCATTCTGATTTCAAGGACGGTTATATCTGTGCTGCACAGCATGTTCGGAATGACTAGATTATAGCATAGGCCATATTGTACCTCATGCACCCACTGACTCAGGTGCCTGGTTGCAGTATTAACCATCAACTTTCGAATCGCCCGAGTTGCGGCCGGCCGTCAATCTTAGTGACGTTCTACTTGCTCGCGTCAGCCACATGTGCTGAGCTTGGTGTCTGTTAGGACGGGCGAAAAGATACCTATATGCAAAGAACCATCCGTAAGACATGCGCCTTAAGTCGAAATGATTCAATTAATAATAATAATAATAGGTCTGTTTGTCATCAAATGAGACGTGTCCATATTTGGCACAGATCAGATACCGTTTACTCAATCCACTTCGATCCCTATTTCCTTCCATCTGTTATCTTTCATCTCAAATGTTGTTAACTGTTTGTTGATGCGTGTTTGAAACGATTCGATCACTCGGGGTAAATAAATCCACCATTTACCCTTAATCCGGCACACTTTTTATTATCTCATCCATCCATCCTTTTCGGTTTTGTAGGCGCACCCACTCGAAAAGAGCGTTTGAAATTGCGATCTCGCCTGTTCATTCTTCGGCAGCTGGAAGCTCGATTGTTCCGTCAGGCCGGTCTTCCGCAGCCTCGCCATGTTGCCCCGTCCAGACCACAAGATACAGACCACATGAAAGCATTCGAAAAGCCCGATGTTGCAATGCGCATGGATGCAGCAGCAGCAGTTCGTGCTGCAAAGCGCAAACTGGAAGCTGACCCCAGTAAGGAAGTGGCAAACGTCGGGGACGGCGACACACAAGCTCGGTAAGTTTTCACCCTTCACAGAATAAAAGTGATCTGCGACCTTCATCTGACCGAGTGTCATCCCTTTCAGATCGAAAAACTCGCGACTCACTAGGGACGAAATTAAACGAAGTCTACCGAGTCATCGAAGCGTAAGTCATTCCATTGTTTACACTTGCACTGTCTGCTTTTTAATGGTCCGTCGCAGTCACTCAGACAGCCACCACATCCGAATCAAAGCTGAATGGTCGCTTCGTCCTATTGCAACCCTATGGCGACACTCATCCGCAGGATTTAAAGGGATCCGGACCCATGATCTTACTTTCATGATACATGCATGACGGCGGTAGTGTGCGTGATGGGTTGATTACTAGCTGCGATACAGTACCACTCATCCTCCCCTGCCATCCATGTCATGAATGTGTGTACAGGGTTAGCAATAAGGCAACGACTTCGCTTGCAGCCCGAAGTGGCATCTAAGCTGCTCCGGCGATTACTGTGCAATCTGCATGCTTTCTCAACACGACCATAACGTGCATGGCGGTGTAGGATGAGCCACGCCATATCGCAGCTAGTAACTAGTCATGGTTGTCCATCACCGTCACTCTTGGCTAAGTGTCTTACTTCACTGCTTGTAAGCGTAAAGTCGGGTTCGGATCCAGTAGCTACGAATTACTAGTGAGTCCTAATAGGACGAAACGGCCGTCTAGTTGTCTGTTTGAGTCTAGCTATGACGAATCACAAAAACACAACAAACCACCCACTGTTCCATAATAATTCTTAGCAGCTTACACGCCACGTCGATTGGTATCCGCTTGCAGAAGTAACCGTAGCTCTGGGGGTTAGTCCTGTCCTATGCACGTTCATAACATGCATGTCGGTGGAGGATGAGCCGTGTTATATCACAGCTACCAGTCATGGCAGTCTGCCGATGTCGACCATGCGTCAATGATCTAGTTCCCCTGGCTCCTTAAAGTAACGTCGTGTGTTCGGACCCCTTAGTATCCAGCAGATTTGCGCGGCTTTGTCCCAACAGGACGAAACGATCACCCAGCGCTCTCCTGGATGTGTGGCAGCTATCTGATTGGGTCTGGCTACAACACGTCCTCACAGAAGCACCGAAAACTCCACTGCACTGTAACTAATTTCCCATGTTGTGAGGGGGATTTTATTATCGTTGGAGCTGAAAATGCTCAAGCAGTCTGCCTGTCTAGTGTTCTACATGTCTGGTATGATTTCCGTCGCATCTGCTTATTCCGGGATATTTTCCCATAGATGTTCGCCGCATCTCACTGCACTGAGGATGCAACCTCGCATGGTGGTGAAACGTTTGTGACAAAACCGCCAAGCTCAGAGAACAAATGAGCAATTGAATCATCAACCCCGAGCTACCAGTATCCCGAAACATTTTAAACCTCTGAACGTGATCTATTCTGATGACAAATCAGGCATTCGTCAATGAAACACGTGGTTACTTGTGGTTACGCTGCTTCTTTCTCTGTTCTCTGTCACTGACAACTGTCGTGCTGCTTTTTTGCTGCCCTATGAGACTGCGACTGTCTGACTGCTGTCACGCGCCCAGCCAACCGAAGAAATACAAAAGGCCAGAACTCCGTAGACAGAGAGTATATCTACAGGATAGGTCGATTCTGTTTATTTGTAAACGGAACGTGCTGATTTAGGAGGTCAAGATCACTCACTCTTCTGCTTCTGGTTTTCAGCCAGTGTAAGTGAATTCCGCTCCACTGGTTCATCGTATTGGCGGAATAGTTAGATTCCTTTGACGCCGCCTGGTGTTTGCTGGCCGATCAATTGTCACTCGATTTCCAAGTTCAGCGGAAAGGTCAAAGGTCGTGGCACACCCGTACTGATGACCTTTGCATGTAGCGGACAGCCTAAGCACTTCGCTAACGTCTCTATTTTATTATTATTATTATTATTATTATTATTATTATTAAGTCCACTAACAACCTTAAGAAGTTGGCCAATCACATTTCTGGTCTGAGGGGGAACGAATGTGTACGCGCCGTTCAAAAATCAGAGTTACTACTGATAATAAATCCACATTTTTGTTGGTATCGTGATAATTCTGGGGAAAACTAGCGCTTTCATAACATCGATAAACCGGTAAATCTATCAAGTAGCTTATGTGCTGGAAAGAAACAGAGATTGGAGTCAGGCTGTTTAACATGCTGTGAACCACCATAGGCGTGCTATGAGCCAGCGTTGTCATAGTTAAATTCAGACAGAATTAACAGAGATAGAATAAACATGGGTCCAAGATGAGATTCTCTTGGTCCGACCTTCTACCATGTGATGCAGTCTTGTTCCCAGTGCCATTTTCGTTATTACATATAAGTGCTTTGCACTACGCTAAGCAGCGGCTTCCATCTTATTCGCCCGCATAGCGTCACGTTACTCGCCCTACTTTGGTTGAACAATCAGCGTTTTCTGGATCAGAAGAGGAAGACGACGAAGATAATGATGAAACGAAGGCTGGGGAATTAGTAGAAAAACACGTTGGGAGGATACAATCTCCTATCGACAAAACTACTACTAGCAGTGCTATTTCCGCCGCATTTGATGATACATACGAATCACGTCCCATTGGGACAACTAATTCCCCTCAACCTACGTCAGAGAAATCGGCGGAGGAAATTCTTCTTAATAGCCTGGCAGTCGAACATTCAAAATCTGTGTCCGAAGGTGAGTGATCTCCACACTTTGTGAGTTATATCCTTATCATAATGGAATGCGAACAGACCTAAGTACAGCAACATGGTCACAAGTCATCAAACTTCTGCCGTAACCGTGACTTCAATGAAGTCCGTCCTCCAGCGAATAGTAGCATGCATTGGATATCCTACAGCTCTGATGGAACGATTTACCTGAGTCATACAAGTTAGCGGTGTTTTGGTTTGGCCTTGCGCAGGGCGTATTGTGCAGCGGTTACATTTTACAGGACCGCGGCTGCATGCTTCACAGTACTGATTTGCGTTGTCCAGCGTGAGATTCTTATGTACTAGGCTACTTCTAGATGTAAGTGCTCTCTAAACAACTTCCCCGGTAATGGTTTACACGTAAGATTGACTAACATTATCGTTGTAGTGGAATTTTTGCCTTCCTCCGCAAACCAATGCACACACTTGTTCTCCGTTTCCGCAGCCGAAACGGTATCAGAGCACAGATGCTCTCTTCTGAACTAGTGCGGAAGAAATCACGGTTAGTCACTTCTTAGGTGGATCCAAGCTCTTAAAAAAGAAATTAGGCCTCACTACAGCATTGATCTGCGACTATGTTCCCGGTGGATTGTATTCTGTGGACCGTTGTAATGCCGTCAGCACTACATGTTTTGTTATTTATCAGTGGTCATATGATCCATACTCAATACCACTTTACACTGTCCTCAAACCAAGTGTTCACCCAGGTGACCCAGAAGGTAAGCGTTTTCACATCATCACGTCAAGCCGAACATAGATACTAATTCTCTACACTCTACGGGCTCTATCGTGGGGGCATTTATGATGCAGATCCTATGATATCGCACTAACTTCGTGCTGTTTCCGAAGAGTCTGCAGCAGACCTCTTCATGCCTCGTTCTCTTGGTTCCATTTAGCGGTATTGACCCTTGGACCATGCAGACGTCCTGTCGCTCTTGCCATCTATCTCGTCACTGTGGAATGCTTTGGATCTGGCCAAAGCACTCGCCGTTGTAACTTTCATCTAGATTCGCCGGAAATTTGGAGATTGTCGTGCTCCGCGCGACCTTATTTTCATTGTCATCCTGTTAGGGACAGGCAGTTCGCACTCCCCCATTTCATGAAAAGTTCTCGTGATCCATACAGCACGCAGACCACTTTTAGATTATGTGTCTGTGGACGATTGATGGGGATGCCAAGGACTGAGTACCGTGGCGAAAACCGGGGACAAGCTTGTGAAGGACTTTTCATGTCCGCACTATCACCCAACTGAATGCTGTTGCCACAGTTGAGCCTACTGTGAGCACAAGTTTTGCATTGTTTATATCTTGCAACCTCTCCTTTACTTCAAGTGTCAGCATTCTCGCTCACAACTCTCTGGATCCCGACCGGAAGTTAAACGCAATGACGATGCTTTTGGTTCACCTGTGGATTGTACCATTAACATTGGCCGCGGATGCTTAGCACGGGAGCACAAACCAATAGTGATCTTACGATCAGGAGAGATGCGATTATTATGTGATTACACGAAGTGGTCAATTAGTTTACTTTTTTCTTCCGTCTCTAAACATCCGCTAGGATTTTCACAAGTTATTCTGAGTCGGTATTTTAAAGATGTTGCTTCGCGTTTTATGATAGATAGAAAGTTAGGTTTTATGCATCCGTCTTCTAGATTGGTTCCGCGTTACGTCGCCAAAGTTAACTCCGGGCGGCGATCATTTCAGTGGTATGTGCTGCTGTGATACGAAGACCACCTTGTCATTACATCATATTACGTAGACTGTCATCAAAACGTTTAGCCTCAACTCTATGCTGTGTCAATAACTCGAATGCTACGTGGATCTCAGGCATTTGAAGACGCTCTTCACCTACATTGTCTCTTTGTAGCAAAGTATCTCGAGTGTCCTGTTATCGAGGAAAATCCGACAGAATCACCTTTGGGTAGTCTAATTGCTGAAACACAACAACCACGCGAATCTGATCAGGTGAGCTTCTTCCTACTATCTTCCCGAAATTTAACCTCTTGTTGCTTCCTTCCCACCATCTATAGTTACGAACATTTGTTGTTTTCATCAGATAGTGAGAATGAATTGCAACACCCCGAACGCTCAAATCCGATGATTTTGAACCCGGAAGCTTCCGCTCTGTTTTCCTTTTTCGGCAGATAGTATTTATAGATCTGTCGTCAATTTTTAACGCAAACATTACCTGACGTCTGCGCTTTGTTTCCTCATTCAGATCTCTCGTCCTGGAAGGCGCAAAGTCCCTGATGTATACGAACTACACGACCCAGACTATGTTACATGGGTACCCCCTCCCGGTAAGCATATTTCGAACGCTGGGAATCAGGACAGTATTTATGTCTTTAGCCTCATGCTGTAAACATGATGACCCTGGGATATGACACGTTGCGTATGATCCTCCCCTTCCTCAATGGTGATCAACCTGATCCGTGCTCAATTCGGTGTCTGCTTCCGACATGTAAAGAAATCATCAGCAGTACGGCAGTACTGCGTACCGGCGCTTCGTTGCCGCGCAACAACCCTGTGGCATGTATAGAATTAAAGCACAGTACGTGCTCCGTGTCAGTGGTCTGGTCCAGTCCCGTTCTTGTTCACCTGATGGTGTACTTTATGGGTCCGATTCAGATCCAACTACCAATGAATGAGGACTTTGACTTAGTATGGAGAGAAACCTACCCAATTATATACTTCGGATAAATGGAAAACAGTCGGAAAATAACGTGTTCTTACCATCCTTGTTACAAATGAAGGACTACTAAGTACACTTGCTAGTCGCCCACCTTGATTATTCACCAATAACCCCCCTGTTTTCTTTAACTGCAGATCAGCAAGGCGACGGAGTAACACAATTGAATGCCAAATACGGATATTGACCACGACTCGCAGTACAATACAATGTAAATATATATATATATTCTGAACATCATAACCCCTGGATGGGTTTGTTGTCCGTCTTTCTGTCGAACAATTCAATGACCACACAGTTCTCAAACAGTACGTACAATAATTAACGGTTCCCATGTCTTCAGCAAATCTTCCGGACTTACGTGTTCTCCCACTGTAGCGTTGTACCATGCCTTGTTATTGGTCCGCTCCCATTCGAAGTGCACTGAACTAAAGCGCATCATATCCTAATTTTGTACAGCTTATTGTGAGCAAGAAGGAAGCATTTACCGTAATCAACGATCACAGTAATTCCTCAGCCTAATCCGCTAACTGCTTGTGTTGTGTACCGATTAGACAGCTTTTCACTTCATCGTGGTTTCACGTAAGTCACATTGTATGGACTAGGACACACGCCCACAACCGCTTTCGCGCGTAACCGTGACTTAAGCATATAAAGTTGCCGTCGGATGAATGGCTGGATGCATTTTCTACGCTGCGCTCACAATCGTTTGGGACTTGAAACATAGAGGCATGTGAGAAAGCAGATAAATGCTCAGAGAGCGCTCGTTAGTAATGAGAATTCCGGTTAGTAGTTAAGGTCAGTCTACCTGACCACTATCCACCGTCGGCCCCCAAAGCACTAGGGTTTCCAAGATATCTGCAGTCCCAGGCTTAAGTAATTCCGAGTCTCGTTTCGTTTGTATGTTCCCCACACTTTTGGCTATAAACCAACGATGTAATAAGTGAACAATCATCTCCGACGACTACAGACGACATACATTTGTATTTGTATCAATTTCTTGAGCGGCGAACACAACAACCCGTAGAGAATCAGGCTGGTGTTCTAGGTAGGGAGACATTTCGAAAGTGCTGGGGGTATGCGTCGTAGATTTTAAATGTGACCAAATAACAGTTCCTAAGACAAGGGATAAACCTACCATCGTGGTACACAGTTTACATCTAGCAAACCTAGCGAACAGCATCGCGGCCGTTACCTTCCCCAGAAGTGGCTATCGCAATGCGCGTATAAGTTAAATCTTTTCTCCACCGATGGCCGAGTAATTCTGATGATGCTTTAATTTACATGTCCTCGATTCACCCTTGGGTAGGTGCTGACGATCCCGCGGTATTTGTAATCCGCACGCAAATGCTGTTGGTCTGCGTGGTAGTAACACGTCGGTGCGACATATTGCTGGTGCTTTTTCTAGTCTCCTCATAAGCGCAATCACCCGAACCGTTGTCAATTCCCTTGATCCCTCTTGATCGTTGGCTCTATCGCGCTTCTACAACATCACCGTGACTTGCATACACGGTTGAATACCAATTTTTAATGCACTATCATCTGATAACAGCAGTCAGACTGGAACCCAAGTTCGGTTGGCCACAAGCTCCTTCATTCCGTGTCTGGACCAGATGGAGTGGTTAACGGCACCAGTACTATGCACTACATAGACAGTTCGGGGATCAGGATTTGCAGCATCAGCAGTGAATCGTTTTGCTTGCAAATCAGAATGACGGTAAATAGGTGCCATGTCATCTGCAGAAGCGCTCGATTGGCTTACTGGAAGGACGGAAAATAGCCGGCCACATAAATTTATCCATCGTATTCTACTTGGCAGGGATGACTTAGAAACAAATAGACGAGATGGAAAGTTTCAGAGCTGCTCTCTCCCACAACTGCACTCCACGACCGACTGGTTTCGTCCCGATTTGGACTCGTCCGGTAGAGATAGCCTGTACTCCAAGACCCAAAAATAAACGGCATATTCTTCGACAGTGTGAGGCACAGTCCCGCTGATTGGTATGCGCAGCGAGATCGCACAAAGCAGGGTTGTGCGTTTTTTTACGGTGGATTCTGAACGGATTTTTGGAGTGATTGACAGGTTGAATGTATTATAGGGATTGAGAAACTTGGAACAATAACAAATAGAAACTTAAACCAAGTGTTCAAATGTACTTATATGGACATCCGTAGGCTTGCTTCCATGCAAGGTATTCCCTCGAAAAAGCTCGCCCGCCACCACAGGTTTCATCAATGCTCCATAGTAGAAGTACGTATTTAGCTAATGCATCGCATGAGGTAACCGGTATCGCTGTCAACAGCAGCACGTCAGCAATTTGAACTTATGCTTCGTTGTCGTACAACCACAGTGACCTAGGAAATGAGAGGAAGAGGAGACGATCTAGTCTAATGCTCAAAACCCCTGTGCAAGCATCCAGGATCAAGGCGCCTACACCTTATCAACAACACAGGGTCACAAGCGATTGACTATCATGTGATGTTAAGGTGGCGTCAGCGAGACACCTCTCGCGATTTCCACTGTCCTGCATCGGAAGCAGCTTTATCTCATAAACAGTTCGGCATCGGACGCAATTTCAAATGCAGTCCAATCCGGAGACGACAGCGAAAGCGCAACTATTGCAAACCGCGAGTTTGAAAGGTAGGATGGACTTCACTGTGGCCTTATAAACACGCTTTCAGATCAAGGCAGACACTCTTCTGACTCCATATATGTTTCAGTTTCAGGAAGGTGATTCTGGCTTTCGCAACTGACTTCAGCAATCACTCACCCACCGCTGCTAATGCAGCTACTAAAGTAGGTGAATTGATCAACTGCCTCCAGTTCCTTGTCATTGAACACTAGTAGTCTCGTAACAACATTTTTGAAAGTGCGAAGCACATTTCAAAGTTGGTATCACTCCAGATAGGTTGTCCGGGCCGCTCTAAGGTTGTCCGCATAATCCAAATTAACTAGTTTTGCAACAAGGAGCACCCCAACTTCTGCATCGACAAAGTTGAGCAAAACGATGCTTGTGAACGCAACTCGTTGGAAAGGTATCCGACAACTCGCCATAGACTGACACGGACGGTGGTGTTCGATCACGCGGCACGTAAAATGGACACCTTTCTGCGCAGGTGTGTCAAACATATAGGATTGGTCGACTGAGCCGAACGCACTTTTGAAGTTAAGAAGCACATCTACAGTACCTGTGAAGCTGTTCTAATCTGTACAACCCCGTCCTGGGCGGAAACCTGCCTGTTCTTCGTCGGAGGGGTCACTCTGAAGCACTCGCGTGTGAGTGAAATGCGACGCGCAATCTTAATTTGGACCGCAATTTGTCTCGGGGTGAACGTCGATCACTAGGCCCGTGTCTGAAGCAGATAAATGGTTGATGTTGCCCGCCTACAGCATTACATTCCACGATCAATCTTGCACTTTTTTTGCACAAGACTGTGACTCGAACTCAGAACGTCAACTGAAACCTCTACTCCTAAGCTACCGAGTCGCAGCTCTCAACGTTTGTCACATCAGTTAACGATCCATTGGATGGATCATTATGTATTCCTCGAATCGCAGTCCGCCTCTTGAGAGCGTCAAGGTCATGCTACACTACCTAGCCTGTGGAGCTGCATTGTGCGCGCTAGTGCGTGAATGTCCATCTCCCTACTAACCAGCGATGCTTATTGATTGGTTCAAAAGCGAGTGCTTAGCTAAAACATGTGAACTGCGTAAAACTAAACAGTTGATCTTGTACCCAGTGTGGACTGCCGATGTACTATTGCCATTGCTTCTACTAAACTTCCATTTGCAATACTGTTGTTCTGATTTCGGTTGAGTGTAACACCTCTATCTGATGAGTGCAGATTATTACGAAGCTGTGCGCAGGCAACACCGAACATTTATCTGCATGCTCTTCTCAAGTGTGTGATCCATGTTCCGCGGTGTCGACGAGCGAGAATTGAGGACAGTTGATGTCCCCACCGGCGTTAGGTTGATGCTTTCACGATTAGCACCAGTGGTGCGATTGCCCTTCTTATACACTACCGCTCGATCGATTTATTCCAGTTGACTACAATGTTCTCTTCCTTCCCTACTTGCTCGAGCAGGTGGGTCAGTGCTCTGCAGAGGACTTCATCCTTATCTGGTGCATTTGCGAGGGAATCCACACAAGCGACGCAAAAACGAATGGGGGTCACCATCGCGTTCCACACTCTAGCGTCCAATGGAACCACTAGACTGACCGACCAACGTTCGGCCTGCATCATTTGAGCATGAAGAGGTCTAGAAGCGAAAGGCCAATTGGACTGTCGAACGATCAATACAGCACCCCCTATAGTGAATTAGCGCACTCGTGCTATCCCTGATTGTCTCACTGATTTATGGTTCGGACCAGTTGAAAGAGCCTGTGGTAATTACCCACTGTACCCACTTCCTCCATTTCTTGAGTCCTTGTGTCTACCAAGCTTCCTTATCAGTACCCATGGTCCGTTTGAGATGGCGCCTAGTAGTCTGGTTACATTGTGCTCAGTACCAGCAGGGAATTTTCTTCTAGATCACAACAGGTCCGCAGACCTCTCGGATATCCAGTGACTAGTGCACTGACGAATGATATTGCCGCAAGCAGAAACCCCCGCATCGGATGTGGTGGCCGAGATCCTAATTCGCTGAAGAATGATGCCATTTGGACAAGAGTGAAACTTCGCTACGGAGGTCATCCTGGTAGGTTGCCTGAGTGATGGCTGAGATAACTTCTCAGTTGATAATCGAGGGACAAGTTCTGGTACAGGTACTCGACTACATACAAAAGGATGATCAGAGTCGACGCGTTTATTTCAAAACGAGCAACAGTTCAGGATGGAACCACACCAACTGAAGTGATGATGTGATCCGTTTGTGTGTATAGCTCGACAAGTACAGGATGCCAAGTGGCAAAACAGCGCACACCGTGGCTTAAAGCGGTGTTGATGAGAAACAGTTAATGCTTGGTGCACGATTGTGATATAAAGGCCACCATTGTCCGTGCGTTTGGAATTAAGCCCAAACTTAAACATAGCTAAGTATGATGAGCTCAGGCGACCTACTTACACATTTATATTCCCTGCAACTACAACGATATATGGTCTAATACAGTGTCAAATTCGTGGTATACCGTGTTCTTAGCAGTATCAGAACTGCAGTTAGAGTGTAAGCGGTAACCACAAACAAACAGCGTCTAGTGCTACTTCGTGAATTGACCTTAGTGGTGTCATAAAACGGGATGCACACAAACGTCCGCTCACGGGAATCCAATTGACTGGCGATGATTCCGCTCTGGACGGTACCCAACTCAAACTTGAACTGTGGTTATGTTTAGGGGATAGCGAGAGAACAAACCTGGCACGGTTAGTACAACAACCGCATGAGGGTCACTGGCCCCAGCCTCGGTCACGTAACACACTTCACGGTGTCCGATGTGGGTGCGATTACAGCCTGCTGACCCGTTCGTCTTCGAGTGCGAACTTTCGACCACACCAGAGAAACGGCGCAGCGTGGCATGAGAATAGGATGTTGATGTTATGAGTTCGGTGGGTGGTTGAGGGAAGATACTCGGTATCGCAGCTACCGTCATTTAGATTAGGGATGTTGGAACGAAGATGAATAATGAGAGTTGGGAGGGGTATGAGAAAGACTGATGGAAGTAAGACATTAGCAGTAGCTTGTTTTTGCTCCGGCGAAGCATTGGTGTTCAGTTTCCCATAAACACACGGAGAAATGCCACAATGGTGATAATAAAAAATATATCTTTATACAATTTAATCTGGTAAACGACTGTTTTCGACAACACCGGTCAGCGGATAATACACCTTGAAAGCGTACTCGGTACGAAGGCCGGTGCTCTCGGCCAGCACGGTTCGTCCGAATTGATCCGGATTAATGAAACGACAGTTGCCTGTTTGGATTGGATTGGCGGTTGTGGAATTCAAGTCAGCCAACGACTGAGGTTCCACGGCCACGACAAGGTCTGGCAGCGGCTGAAGGCTCAAGGCTTGATCAAAGGCCCAATACACCGGGGCTATGTGGCCCATCAAGGGCAGCAAGTGTGCCTGGCTTGCCAGACAGCGAGCAAGTCCAGCTCCCAACCGCTCTGCCGGAGTCTTTGGTTTCGGTGCACGTACGGACGTGGAGGAATTGTCATCAGTGGGTGTGTTTTCGTCTCCAGAGCGCTGAGATTCTGGAAGCTGTACGAGAAGAGAAAACGGGAGCTTATTTGCTAGTCAGTTACTGAAGGTTTGATAGCCCCCTTCAGATTTTAAGTATACGGATAACCAGTTAGGAAAAAACGAGATGCAGATACCGGGACGATTCGTACCAACACTACATTATCCCCTTTACTTGCAGAAGAGTCACTCGAAATGGTCCATCTGTTTTTTCTTAAGCAAGTATATCACATCTTTTGGTCGCCTCCGCGGTGATATCACCTCATATATTGCTAGGCCATCCTTCGATAGCTTCAGCTGCTTTGAAAGCGGCAACTGGTGTCTGGTGCTGGGATAGACAACATTCTAATGTTGAACGGATTACGCCAACGTCGTCCAAGACACTAGCATAGCTGAGTACATGTAAGATACTGTCTCATGCCACTAATTCGCCAGCACGGCTGAGACAAATGTTTCGCAGTGTTGACCACTTTAGTTGAAACCGCGTGAATTTTAGGTGCAACTGTATGGTTCTTGGATCACCTACGTAGTATTGTCATACGCCCAAACTAAGCCCCTAATCTGAACTACAGCGACCATCCATATGCATTGTGATATCCTACATCAGTTAAACAAAGGTGATCTGGGTACCGAAGTGCGGTGAGTCCAGTTGCCACGACTCACATCGCCAGAATAATAAAAATAAGAATATAAGGTTCAGTACAAATGGAACATGAAGTGAATGGAAACAAGGCGCTTTAAACTAATCAGGATGAAATGAAGATTAATAGCTGGATGCAAGAAACCGAGTGCAAGAACGCCACCGACTGCGCGGCTTCACCATGTCCGAACGGGTCTCTAATCATCGTTGTGGACCATCCTAAAGTTCCACATTCATGAAGACGGCGCGAACCAGTCTGACCAAGTCTCTCAGTCAATTTATTCGTGTCTCTGCCACCAAGCGGTTTCGACCAACTTGGTTCAGCCACGACGTATAACGCAGGTCGAGAAAGGCGGTCAACAAGCGCACCGAGGACATGACCTAGACAACGTAATCTGTTAGAAAAATAAAAATAATGGTGTGTTTGTGTAGGCCCTCATGACTGTAGGCTTTCGTTCTGATATGGTAGTTCACTGAGGTTTGTTTTAACGGATCTTTTCGCTATCCCTATTGGCTATTTGGAGTCGTTATTTTGCCTTCATATCGCAGCCATACTTTGACGCTATCACTCTCACGTTACATTTCTCTGTGTGCACTTGATTGATCCCTCATTTGTTCAGTTTTTATTGGCTTTAAGTATTCGCACGCTTTCCCTACTCTGGTCGGGGTTCGCGTTTGTGCGTTATGCTATATACCGAAGTGGTTTCCCTATGTAAAAGTACCCTTGAATCTTTATCCCTGGTCGTTCGTGTTCTCACTACCGTTAGTGGGTGAAAGCAGTCGCGGGGCTGTGACAACATTTCTTCATGTCTCTGCCACGTTATCGACTGGTCACCTCGCGATTCCGACCAGCTTGGTGCAGCAAAGGCGTATAATGCCAGCCGAAGAAGGCGGTCAACGAGCATACCGAGGACATGGCCGGGCCAACGTAATCGGTTAAGATTCAGCAAACGTTCGAGTGAAGTACCAGGTTTCTTGCCAAAAACCAGCTGACGGACCTCAGCACTACTTACCAGACGTGAGCAAGAACAGGTGGTCAAACACGGTCAAGCGTTTAATGTCCTCACTTTGAACTGGCCGAGTCTCTGATCCATACACTGGCCTTACCACAGCGTTATACACCCTACATTTCACTGACAGGCTGAAATCCCGCCGTCTCCATAGATGTTTTAGCCTCTGGAAAGCCACACCGACCTTGCAGAAACGCGAAGTAACCTCCTCAATGATGTGATCGCCAAAAGTGACACAGCTACCAAGTGAACCGATCCAACATTTCCAGTGGCAGTAGACGGATCCTTGCTTCGGGGGGTATTTACGACATCAGCGTCTCATAACTGGATAAGAAACCCCGAGCGAATTTTTACCACTCTATAACAGAGGAACTCAACTTCGAGTCCTGAAAGAGACGGGTAATCAGAAAGTCGGTCAACAAGAATCACCTTTGTGGACGAAGTCAGTCCGAGGCTGATCTTGTCCTGCTTATATAGGCTGAAAGGTTTGAAGACCCGTGCTCGCTCAGCTCTGGATTCTGTGGATCGAAAAAGCCTCAATTCTGCCATCATTGAGCTGAAAAGACAATGATGAAGGGGAAACAAATCATATCGTAAATTTTCAGATCGTTTCTAAGATTTCACGAAGGAGGAGAAACAGGTCGCTTACAATTCAAGTACGTTTGCGGGTTTCTGCTTCTGCTTGCGTGTGGTCTTCACCAACTTTGGTAATCTTATGAACAAGCGCGATGAACTGTCGTTTCGTTGCATCTGAGCGGCCAGACGTAGTGAAACTCGCAGACATTGTTGAGTACCATTCAAAAAATATTAATTGTTACTACTGCTTCGTCGTAATATTTATTGGGATTTGTCCTATCGTCCTGCTGCAGATGCATGGACTTGTTTTCAAATATCGGACTATATTCCGAAGAAAGCAAATTGAAAATATTATTTTCTGCTCCATTCGAGCCACCTTTGTCCCTTCGTATGTCAATATCTGTACAGCATTCAAATGTCTGTTCAAGCTAGGATCAAAATAGTGTACATTTTGCACCTACATGAGAATACAATTTGTTTATTTATACTCATGCTTTCGCTGCGATAGACTCTTGACTGCGCGTGGTGGCAACTTACTCCACGCCCCATCATCTCTGTTTAGGAGACTAGTGAATGTCTACGGAAGCGACCATGACCTATGTGAGCAGCTGTGGTGCTCAATCCACCTCGGGTGCGATGAGCTGCTCGTGGGCGCAGTCCCCTGAGCCATTGTTTGGGTTGGCTGCCGCATTTTGAAATCATATGGGTTGTCCCCATTTCCTACTTATGGGTGACTTCAGTTGTCCCCGAGTACGCTGGCTTGAAGTTCAATTCACGGACGGACATTGTGATGTAGAAGCAGTTTGTGGACTTGGTACTTGAAGGTGGAGCAGCGCAACACATATGCCAACCGACATCTACAACGCCGCACTCAACTCCGTCGTGCCTAGACTTGATGTTAACTAGCTATTAGCAACAGGCGTACGACGTTCAGATCTTGGAGCCCTTAGCAGAAAGCGACTACTCAGTGCTCATAGCCAACAAGCTGCTACCTTTACTGTATTCTCGTCCACTAGAGCCAGCTTGCAACTATTGAAAAACTAATCTAATCTAAACTAATCTAATCTAACTCGAGCCGCGAACCACGTGGATTGGTCTGTACCGCAAATTGCATCTGTGGAAGACTGTTGGACTGTTATTAGAGATGGAGTGAAGCTACTGTGTTATCGATTTGTACCACTGAAGTATCGGCTCGTAGCCTTAAGGATCACAACTCTGTCTTGTAATCTGAGGGCGCCGGTTCGAGCCTGTGTAGGGACTGGGTGACCCTCGCAGTATCTGTAGCCCACGTGCGACTGTTGGTGCTTGCGCGGCAGCGAAGCGTCGGTACTGCGTATCGGCGTACTGCTGATGCCTTTTTTTCTTTTTACTGTAGTGTCGGAAAGTGGGACCAGTCAAGCCACATTGGTTCGACAAGGATTATAGCAAAATGGCTCGACGGCGGCGCAAATTGTGGGACAAATTTCTCTTCTCCGGCTCTCCCAACGGCTAGGAGACGTATAAGATGCAACAACAGTTCTAAAACGAGCAGACGCCGACATTGCGAATAGCATCTTGCAACCACGCAAAGATCGCCCCGAAAAGAATCTTTGCATACGTGGAGCGGCGCCTCAAGCCGGAACGTGATCTGTAAGTGTTATAGGGCTCGGACGGACAGCCCATAACCTCCATCACTGGGTGTGCGTCAGCTTTGGCGGCGCACTTCGCTTCCGTGTTTGCAGGTGATTAAGTGTCTGTACCGAGTTCGATGTGTACCGCGCTTACCGAACTCGACGGTCTGGGTTGCAGTGTTGAAGAGGTGCGTCAACTACTCACCAACCTTGACGACACCAATCCTGCTGGCCCTGATGGACCCCACCCACTGATTATCAAGTTCACATCGGTCATCAGTTCATCTACTGTGACTGACTTGTTCAACAAGTCACCATCCGAAGGTTTATTGCTGAGTGACTGGAAATGTTCAGTGTTTACACCGAGTATAAAAGGTGGTGACCCCAGCAAAGTACACAACTACGAGCCGATTTGTCTGATATCTATTTTGGCCAAGACCGTTGAGAAGATCGTGAAAAGGGTCTACTACAGCTGTTCTAATCAAAAGACATACTGACGCCCGCACAACACGGTTTTATGCTAGGCCGCTCATGCATTACCAACCTGCCGGTGACGAGGCATGAACGGCTGTAGATAGTAAATCAATGGAAATTTGTCGACGTAATTTACATCGATTTCAGGAAAGCGTTTGACAAGGTAAACCATGAAGTCCTCCTCCACAAGCTAAGAGTCTGCGGTGTTGGTAGGTCATTGCTCTAATGAATCCAGGACTTGCTCGTTGAGCGAAGATGGAGGACACAGGTCAAAGGCCATCTAAGCTAATAATATCCCTCTACTACTGGAGTACCCCAAGACATAGTGCTAGGGCCCACTCTGTTCCTAATCCACAGCAACGATCTGCCTCAGCTTCTTCGGTCGCCGTGGGCCCTGTTTGCGGATGACCTGAAGAATTGAAGAGTGATTAGCACCCCAGATGACTGCAGTCTATTTCAGCAGGATCTCAGTCGCCTCTTCATGCGGTGTGCAGAGGATGGATCAACCCAAGTAAGTCGGAATTCATGAGCCTGTGGAAAAATGGTGATGGCCGGACGTACACATCATCATCATCACCATACACGTTAGCTAGAGGTGAGGAACACCTCAGCTACTGTGCCGCAACACATAGAAGAAAAGGAGAAAAAATGCAACTGGTGCAAGCTGGCTGAGCTACCGGTAACGGATGGGCATCGTTCCGGTAAGCTACCAGCCGGCTGCTGTGCACCCCCCAAAAAATTATTATGCAAAATTATATAAGACTAAGTAATGAGATCGTGGTTGGAGGGGGAGCCTAAAAGGGATGGGGTGGGACAAAGAAACTCACAGCACGAACGCCACTGAGGTCGGCTCCTAGCCATATCAGCAAGTGTGTCCAACCAAACGTGTTCATCGTCTTTCGGACCCCAACCAGGGAGCCGAGACGCTCCAACCGAGGCCAGCTCAGAAGTGAGGGCCTTCATTCCTCTGGACCAAGTCATCGCTTGGCCACTCCTCCTCTTCTTCCATCCACACCCCCGGCGCGCAAACAACACACGTCGCGGAAGTCGGTGGGCTGGCATGCGTAACACGTGGCCGAGCCATCGGAGCCTGATGCGTGAAATAACGGTGCTGAGCGGTTCAGTTCCTTTTCCTGTGCCATAAACAAGGCGTCGAACACGGTCGTTGCTCACGCAGTGTTCCCACCAGATGTGAGCCAAATTGCGAAGGCACCGGTGGTCGAACGTAACTAGCCTCTTGAGGTCCGCTGCTTTAAGCGGCCAGGTTTCACAACCGTAGAGCAGTGTCGAATGTACTGCTGCATTGTACACTCTACCCTTCAGGACAAGAGTGATTTCGCGCCGGCGCCATAAGTGGCGAAGATTAGCAAAAGGGCCCCGAGCTTTTGCTATACGGTTCGTGATCCCATCTTCAATCTCACGGGCGCTGATACAACTTCCCAGGTAATTGAATTTCTGAACGACTTCTAGCTGATCCCCACCAACGGTCAGCGAAGGAGGCGGTCCAGACCAATCTTGGAGAAACGCTTTGCACTTCAGTGGTGCAAAGCAAAGCCCGAAGCGACTGACAGCTAGTGCTAATCTGTCCAGCGCGGCTTGGCACGTCTGGGAGTTGTCACAGATGAGGGCAATGTTGTCTGCATACTCCAAGTCAAGAAGTCGTTCTCCTGGGAGTAGCTCCACACCTTCTAAGTCGTGTCCTGTAAACGCGATTTCCATGACTTCGTCAACAGCGAAGTTGAAGAGGAAAGGTGACAGCGGGCATCCTTGTCTCACGCCGCTGGAGATATTAAAGGGCGACGACAACTTGCCGTAAGCCCTCACTCTGCCCGAGCTACGAGCATATAATGCTCGGATAATATTCACATATTTCTCAGGTACACCTTTCCTGAATAGACAGTCCCAAAGTGCATGTCTATCCACAGAATCGAATGCACCTTTGATATCGAGGAACACGACAACGGTGGGCCGCCAATGTGTGTGACGGTGCTCCAACAACTGACGCCCGGACGTACACTCTTGATGTCCAACTGCTAAATCCCACGCCTACCGTGAAGGACCTAGGTGTACTCTCGCACTGCGACTTGAAGTCCGTAGCTAAAACGAACAGGCTATCGTAATGAATTGAACATGCCACGGGCGATCAAACGCGGCACCGTACTTGGTATGAAGAGAGGTCACACCACTCGTCATCAATACTGGGGTACGGCTCGCTCGCCTAGTCAGTTGAGGCGAAGCACAGAAGATCAAACGGGTCCAATACGTCGCTATCAGGCTCATTCCTGGCTTACGATGATTACCGTACGAAGACCGTTACGAGAAACTAGAACTCTGCACCTTGTCCTACCGTCGGCTGCAAGTTGATCACAGTGTGACCTATCGCATCTCGATGAAATCCCCATATTGAGGTTGCTGCTTCACTTGGGAATGCCGTGCACTACATGCGGACACCGGTATAATCTTGTGGTGCCGCATTTAAAGAGAGTTTCCCACCACTTGTGCTTTGAACGGAGAGTGGTTAGTGCTTGAAAAAATCTGCCAGAACCAGTCGTGGAAGCCAAGTCTGTGCAGCAGTCCAAACCGTTGTTTGATTAACACTTCACTGCCATTCGATTCAGAGAACGATTGCACCTTGGCAGACTTATTACATTTGTGAGCCTAATGACACTTTAAGTCAGACATTCTTAAATGTCACATAAGAAATTGAAGAGTGCTTAGAGTATGGACAGATGGACGATGTTTTCATGACATTTTTGATTTTACTCCCATGGATTTGTATATATTTAAATGTCTACTTGCTCCCACAATATAGTATTCAGTATTCTTGTTTTCAATCGCATAAGTCCCTCGCTTGCAGAGAAAGCCGCCACACCCCTATCAGTTCACCTCAATTTGACGAACTACGGTCTGAACAGTGTGATGGATTCACATGGTTAACACCATCTGATAAACGAAGTCTGCGATAGAACAAAAGCGGGCAAAGTTGGAAGTTCAATATAAAAACACCGGAAAGAGATAATGTGGTGGGAAACAGGAGCTAGCTACCATGGGGCGAGTGCAAAAAAGGCAGCATACCACGGCGGATAGGTCTGCGAACCGCGGATTTGGTCAATCCATGAAGAAAGCGTACAGCAGTTAAGTGCAGCAGTGCATGGTTTCACCTCTGACCGCGACATGGTTTTTTCAGGTTAGTAACATGCGATCCAATTTGTACATTCTCACTGTTTTGGTGTGCGAATATAGTGACAGGAAGATGTAGATGGGTGCCACGCACGCCAGAGTTATCTACGAGCAGCTATATGCGCCTCAATGGATTTCGGTCCAGAGCCAACACTTAAAAACAAGTGAAAAAATCGATGCAATCTAAGAAAATAGCGAAGCCTGTTATGCAGTCAAGTGAATTGGCAAGTTAGATAGTTGCACATTGTGCGTAGGTTACGAAAAATGCACGGCGACAAAAAATCGGACCCTGGGGTTTGTTTGGGCAGCGGTAAAAAATATACAACAGAAAGTTAATAGCGTACCTGTGTCTCACTGTCTTGCTGAAGATCGATGGAGGTCACCGCATCATCCAGAGGTTCTGAGAACGCAGGTAAGTGAATGCAATGACGGATGAGCAAACGAGAGTACTCCGCGCGAAACACAACTATTTCGCGAGTATACAACCGCAATCGACACGGATTTGAGGTCAAGTGAAGCCATGGAGGACACTTCACAGCTGCGTCGTTGCCTACTCGACGACCGTCCAAGATATCGGAGAACAAGCGAAAAGGGAAACCTGGCCTTGGCAGGATACTGGACGGTGCACATACAGGATCTGTTGGGCCCGGTACCAGTATCAGGTGGGGGCAACGGGATGGGCTCAATGTGTCGATGTCTGGGAATGCGTTTTTGTACACCATGATCAGTTGAATTAGCAGCTGACGCAAACTAGACACCTGAATTTAGAAAGCGAATAGGACAGAACATGTGATATTCGAATCTGATGGGTAAACAATTCGGTGGTGTCATTTCGGTGTACCATGAGGCGTGGACAAACAAGCAGCGTGCTCAAAAATGAATCACTACAGGTATCTTCAAACCGCTCGGGCAACTTACAATCATCAAACTGAAGCTGGGTAACTTGTCAACGTCGTGCAACTTTCAAGTGTAGGACAAAGTGCTTGATGAGTACAAGACTGCCTATAAATAAAATGGTATGCAGTTAACTCAAGAAGACTAACTAAATCAAAAATGTCGGTGGAGGTATCTAGTGGCTCTCCTTCGTTTTCAACGAAGAGCAGTGACTCCAGCCACACTTAAAAAACTCCCCTAATCACACCCAAACATGTAGTCAATGGAAAATTGCTTCAACATATCAGTGTCTAACAGAATGAGTAGACAGGATTTTCTGTTGCTTGATTTAATCGCTTCGTCAACGATCGGTGAGCAATCTGTGAGCGAACAATTAACTTTGTGATCAAAGCACACGCCGTGCCGAGTGCATTTGTCGCAACTGAAATAACCGGAATGCCCATTCTCCTACTATAATGAAGCTCTGGCCGCGATGTCGCACACCAACGCGTATACGAGAAGCCGTTTTGTTGAACAACCACATGGTGGTGTCGTTATCCTGTAAATCCCTTGGGTTTGGCATCAACTGATGCCAAAAAGAAAGGGTCTGGTAAGCACATGGTTAGTTCTGCGCCACAATATGCACCATATATGTTGATCTCTGATACCCTACCTACCTTCTTAAGTGGAATCTAGTACGGTGACATACCGAGACGGTGAGCTACGGCATCCCTCTTTGTGTTAGTATTCGGCCGCGATTCACATCACTATGTAAGCTCCATGGTATTGCTCACGATACTATGCTACGTATATTCTCCTTAAAATCAATTTGTAGATTACAGGACCCTAGCTTGACCAGCCGCCCAATGCTAACTAGCACGACGCTTAGAGAGTCGAAGCATCGCCGGATAAAGGTTCAGTTCATCCATGAGCTCATTTATATTTGACGTGCGCGCGGTTTCCGAGCGAACTGTGTTGTTGATACGGATCAATGCTAGGGGGGCAAATTATTGAGTATGTTTCCAGTTCGGTAAATACGTGTGAATCAGAAGGCTATTAGCACTTGGACGCTTACAGTACACATAAAGGGTAAAGTCTGACATCTAGAGCACAATGCTCAACTACTGTCCCTCATGTGACCAGGTTGGACTATGCATCCGAAGAGAAATTATCCAGGAAAATCGGTGGCAAATGAATAATCCCGATAATTAACCGACTAGAAATTATCCTAATGTCGACAGTTCATCTTCCGCTCCAGAGGTTAGTGATGTGAGTGAACATAGCTATATTTCCTGTTGTTCATCAGCCATACTGAGTTTACCGAGGATTATGAAAACACAAGTACCAAGCGGATTAAAGGCGGAAGCGCAGAGGTGCCTACTAGAAATTGAATTGCACATGGCCAATCTTCTGGATAGACTAAGAAGAAGGTAATGCGCACGGTAATGGTACGTCAGTGTCTTAGTATATTACATCGGAAATGAATTCGCGCATAGCGACAATCGTTTTAGGAGCACCAAATGACTGCACCCGAGACGTACGATGCAGATCGTTACCAAATAGCTTATGGCCACAGCAGAGTACACAGCGGTATGTAAAAACGGCTGAGCACTTGGATGACAGCCATGTTACGTCTTGAATATTTGCAAAACAGTGCGAACGCTGTATGAAAAGCCGCATGTTTGGCAGTGAGCAGCGGGACTTTATATATATATATATATATATATATATATATATATATATATATATATATCCAACACTACAACAATTACAATATAATTGGCTGCGTGCCACGGCACATAAGAAGAAAAATAGCGTGAGGGGGAAAACAACTGTTAGGGTAGAAGAGTCTCACAGCAAGTGCGCCATTGCGTACGATTCTTGGCCATATCCCCGAATATGTGGTATTGCCACCTGTCAAATCGTACCTCAGGCAACAAATGATCAGACCGGTCGGCGACACTGAGAGACTGAAGGGAACACTCCATCGCATTTGCACGCTGTACGATCTTCCCCATTAGCTACGCAAACCAGACAGTGCATATGGGACGGAACATCTAAGCACACACTATTTTACTGTACCACTTGTTTACTAATCATTGTGCCTGGTAACCGTACTGATGGCAGTTGCGTCACTACTACTACATCGGTTTCGTACAGAAATGGATGCCCAAGACTTAAGGCTGTTATTTGTGTTCACGTCTAAATGTTAAAGAAAACACCAACAGCAAGTGTTGGGTACTTATTCTCAGGCGTGCGAAAATCGCTGTCAACCTGACCTCCAAACGAAAAGTTTGTAGTACTATACTGTTCATGAGGTTTAATGTGTCTATCCAGTTTGTGGCAGCTCATACTTAAGTTCAGACAAACGCATGTGCATATGTTGTATTCGAACTACCATTGGAAACGGATGACACCAATCCATGTATACATGTATACCGAATGAATTCGACGAGGACACTCATACCGCTTTTGTACGGCCCTTAGTGCAGGGAAGCGGCACTCGGGCAAACCGAAAATAACCTTATCAGGACATGAACAAGGTGAGTTTATGACGAACTAATGTTGATTTCAGGTGTTGCGAATTAAAGGTAAAGTTGATCGGTGCGAATTCCGTGGCCTGATGAAGAGGTCGGTTGTCTAGGTGCACGAGAAAGCACTATTGCACGCGGAAGGGAAGCACGATGCGTACGCTACCATTCAATTTACTAATCCAGGCAAATAAGGCGGCGTATGTGGTACGTTTGTCCGCGTGGTGAGTATTCTTTCATTTCAGAAGTTAATGTTGATTCAGCTCCCCGGTGTGTCTGCGCTTGAGGTGAATGTTAACAAGGTGCCTACCTGTCTAATACCGTCCACCTCGATCGCTGGCTGCAGGAGACAGTTGGTCGTTGCTGTAGGGGACGGGGTGCACTGTCCTCGTGACTGTGCTAAGCTCAAAGAGTGGTTTCATGCATGCTGTATGGAACGGCCGACGGCCCAGCCACCGTCTTGTGGGCATGATTTCCAAAGTAGGCCGGAATGCTTCTGTTCTGCTTGTTGAGGGAGTGCGGGTTGGCTCCGTTGATGAATCGTGGCTCCCATCCACATGCCTCCCGGTCTTATTTCTTCGGGTTTACACCGGATATGGGGTGGTGAGTTGGTGTAGCGCAAGCCACCCATGATCCCTCTGTAGGCACAGGCGTTCTATGGCTGTCCCCATGGAGGCCACAGTGACATGCAAATACGGATACGGATGCCGCCAATCCAGGTATGTGTGTAAGTAGCCATATTGAGTTGACTGGTTCTTGTGACTGGATATGTGATTTTATCTCATGGGTTCGCCAAAGTTGGAACTCTTTGAAGTGGATTACGTTCGTGAAGTAAAGGGAACAGCGGAAAGGGAAGCAGCATTGACTTCATTAAGTAGCGAGTCACCCGCCACGTCACAATATTGTTAAACGGACATTTGTAGCTTTGTATAAGGAGAACGCTTGTCAGACGGAAAGCCACCACCTGGAACACTATCGCCGAACCATTTGTTGGGACGGGGTAAACCCGAACCACCCAGCAGGCACCACGAGGAGGTTGTTCAGGTAGCATGTCTCATTGATTATCCGTTCACACAAAGAATTAATGGCCACACAATTGAGGGGACCTGATGTCCTAAGTGGACTTGGGAACAAGGCATATGCACCTTAACTAAATATTTTATTCTCGACAACGCAAGTCAAGACAACACAGGCATGTTCGTGAGGAACAGTTACAGGCATGATCATGATGAGCAGTTACAAACAGCAAGAGATCGTGAGCATTCAAAGTGGCGTCAAAAAGGCAGATTACTCGCAACTTTCACTGCATCGTGCCATAATCAGCCTTACCCCAGAGATAACTTAGTAGCCGGCACACGCCAAACGAGGAGCTTGATTAGATGAGCTGGGACGTTAACCATCAAGTAGGACTCGCCTGTGTGCACCACCGCTACAGACACATAACGGCCAACCGACACGAGCAAGGCCCTGCAGGCAACAACGGTCAAAGACCTGAAGATACCACAGATGTTCACGCCGAAAGAGCTCTGTCTTACTACAGCACAGCAGAGCTCGCCTCAACATGACCCAGAAAGTACGATCAATAACAGCAAGGAAGATACCATTCTGGTATCAGAGATGCCGTAAGTTCATGAAGGCAGTTCTAATTTTCGCAATACGCAGGATAACCTCAATAGTCGAACATCTATCTCCAACTTCGCGTCATCAAAGATCAACGGACTATCAAGTGGCTGGTGGGATTACAAAATCACTTTGCACCAGGAAGGTGAAAAGCATGTGCCAAGGGACGAAACCGCTCCAGAGTTAATTGGGAACTGACAGTGCCGCGAAGCTCAGAGCAACGTATTTTCTCCGGGGCAAAAGTCGAGTGCCGTTTCGTGGGACTTCAAAAGTAGCATCCACGATGGAGCCAACGATAACAATGAACAGACATGAAGAAGAACGCAAATCATTATCGGAAAGGTAATAGGCGATTCGCCATTGACCATGATGCGACTTAATGTACTCTGGTGCATAGCACGTTTTGTGTTCATGTATATCACGAGAACGCTTTTCCAGAATCATATCGAACAGAACTGAACGATCGAATGGGTCCAAGATGCTCTTGGTACCGAGGAACACAACCATAGTCGGCCTGCAATGTATGCACCTCGCGCAGAGTCAACATATCATCTGTAAAGTGCCGCCCCGGTTGTACATTTGCCTGTTCTGCACCGTAGGTAGATGCTACCAGACAAAAACGCATGTCCCAGTTAATCAACATAGCCACCGTCAAAACTCGCAAGGATGTTAACTCGCTTGAATATCTAGATATGTCCTTCCGATAACAGACAGCACTCGCTCAACCACACTACACGGCATTCCATGGTAACGCAAGTAGATCTTTTACAATGGGATTTAGGTGCAAGGCATCTACATAGTAATTTCGGAGGCAACTAAACGGTAAATTAGTTGAGAACAACTTACAACTGTGATGGATTTCTGCGGGAATACGTTGAAAATGGTACAAAAGTTCCTCCCTACTGATAAGCACAACCTAAATGGAACATCTGGTATACAACTCACTTCCCGCTTACACCATTAGTACTTTAATTCAGACACTGTGCAATTTCCGTGAAACAAACATTACAGGCGATCAGTTCTTTTAAATTCATTGTCCCCACATAAATAGCGATTGCCCAGTCAGTAAAATAAACGACAGAAATAACCCTGGAAGATGGACCTACATCGCGGGGCATTCACCTAAACGCATCCTTAAGCGGCGTTAAAAGACGCCGCTTTTCCCAGCTATTCACCGCCAACGGTGCGTGGCAAAGAAGCCCCCCGTGATGCACGTTTTGTGCCCAAAGTGGGGTTATCCCACAGTTGCAACTACGCGAACCAAAACTCCCGCGCCAACCGATTGCAGTGTAAACAGCTGCATACTAAAGTGTAGTTCGATTCAGAAAACTACTTTGTGTTGTAGTGCATAAAACGTGAAACTGGAAACTAACGCAATTAAGCAGAACTAAATACAATGCAAAAGTGAAGAGAGGAGGGAGCAGACACAATACGACAGACGAGAGATTAGAAAAAATGTCGAGAAAAACAAAATATAGTCATCGGATGGAAGCGAGACTCGTAAGAAATCTCACGATAAAACTGCGTGTTCACCTGAAGAGAGACCCAGAAGCCTGTTGTTCTCATCGTGCGTCGCAGATAGAAACAGTCCTGATACGGAAAACTAGCGACAGGAGACCTACTTTTAGCGAGACCATTGGTGAATCAATCTGCCTTTTGGCACTGTCCGCTCAAGAAAGGTGCCAAATAAATATGTAAACATTATCAGAGCGCTTTACGCGCACAGTTCGAACAGAGTGAGGGCTTACGGCAAGTTGTCGCCGCCCTTCGATATCTCAAGCGGTGTGAAACAAGGTTCCCGCTGTCAACTTTCCTCTTTAACTTCGCCATTGACGAACCCATGGAAATTGCATTCACTAGACACGACCTAAAGATGCGGGGCTGCTCCCGATGAGTTACCACTTGATTTAGAGTACGCCGACGACATCACGTTAATCTGTGACAGATCCAAAGGTGCCAAGCTGAACTGGTTAAATCAGCTCTGGCTGTCAGTCGTTCCGGGCTTTGCTTTGCATCCTCAAAATGCAATGTGCTCCTCCAAAATTGGCAGGGACTCACCCCTGCGTTGACTCTTGGTAGTGATCAGTTAGAAGTCGTTCAAAAATTAAAGCACCTGGACAGCGATATTAGCGTCAGTGGAAACAGAGATGAATTCACGAATCGTATAACAAAAGCTCGAAGCGCTTTTGCCCATCTCCGCCACCTGTGGCGCCGGTGTGACATCACTCTCGCTCTGAAGGATAGAGTTAACAAGGCAGGTATCCGTTCAACCCTCCTGTAATGATACGCAAGCTGGCCCATCAGGTCAACAGACATAAAGATACTAGCTACGTTCGACCATCGCTGAGTTCGCAGCTTGGCTCATGTCTGGTGGGAGCACCGCATGAACAATGAATGTGTTTCGCGCCCTTTAGTTGGTGTAGGAAGAGCGAATGAACCGCTCAGCACCGTTATTTTACGTATCAGGCTAGGATGGCTGGGCCACGTGTTGTGCGTGCCAGCATACTGACCCCCGCGTTCGGTGTTGTTTGCGCGACCGGGTGTGGATGAAAGAAAAGGATGGAAGGCCAAGTGATGACTTAGTCGAGAGAAATGAAAACCCTCAGTTCGAAGTTTGCGCCGATTGCTGTCACCCGACTGCCAGTCTGTGGCTCGAAGGACGATGAAGGCGTCTGGTTTTATCCACTGGTTGGCATTTGGAAGAGCCACCCCAATGACGTAAGTGGCGAGTTACTTTATCCCTCCCCATGCACTTTAGCTTCCCTCACCAAAAACGATCGCAAACCTAACGCATGATGTGGTTTTAGCATTAGATTACTTTTTGGTTTGCGTCTTATATAAGAGTTATACTTTGGTGTTGCGACACTAGCTGAGGTGTGTTTCTCCCCCTCAGCTATCGTGTACTGGTGATGATTATTATAAATAAATAAATAACGTGAGGCACGCCTTTACAGGCATGATTATGTTAGGATAACAAGTGTGAACAAAAATGTTCAAGAATACAACATGCTTGTTATAACAGTAAATGTGTGCATGAATGTGTGTGTAACTGTGCATAGGTGTAGCTTTGTACCTTATGCTTGTAAGTGTGCCGTTGTATTTGTGACTGTTTGACAGCGTCGGCTATGTAAGAATAGATGACTGATGTCCGTGGATTGGATGTAATTATCCAGCTATCCACGGGGCAGTGACTTTAGTTTGTGGCGAATCACATTCGCCACGTCACAGTGTTGACAAACGGACATTTGTGGCTTTTTATGGGGAGAACGCTTGCCAAATGAAAACCCACCACGTCCTGGAACACTGTCGCCGAACTATTTGCTGGAACGGGTTACATCCGAACCACCCAGCTGGCACTACGAGGCTGTTCGGCTAGCCATATTAGGTTGCGAAACATCGAATCAAAATCTGTGCGGCGTGGGCGCCTGCAAAGTGTCTACGATGACAAAAACTACCTGATTGAACACACGGTAGGGTGTCGAGCGGATGGTAAAACGAAAGACTCACGCGCTCTGGATAACTTCGTCCGTTCGCACTGGGGCCTAAAAAGTTTCCCGTGAGGACGAAGGCGACCGGAGGACAATCGCAGTATCCGTTGAACAAGGTGGTTAGACGGTCAAGGCAGTCTGGTCGATCCAAACATGTTTCCCCGAGAAGCACGAGCATAGCATCTGCGCCAGCCTGTTTGAATGCAAACGTGCGGAGGATGATTACGAAACAAGTCAGCACAAACGACACCCAGTCAGATGAAAAGCAGCCCAGTAATGAACTAACAGGTATACAAGAGGTAGCATTCTCAAACCTTTGAAACTAATGAAAGCGGTTGTGAAACTAAGGAGCCCATTAGTGAACGGTAGGTCAAGCAGTAACAAATGTAAAGTAGACATAAAAAATTAGCCATTCCGAAAAAGTGGTGTTTACTGTGGTTTGATAGTTTTGAATGTGTTGAGGTTGTGGAGACAACCAAAAACCTCAAGCTAGACAACACGGTGAATTAATGTTTAGAATACTTGTGTTGCAAAAATGCGGTGCAGACGAGTTGTGCAGTAGAGAACCCACGTCTAAATATGATAACAGTTCGAAGATGGAAACTTCTGGCTCCAGTGAACGGAATGGCCAAAGTCTGCTTCAACGTAAATCGTGGCTCCAGTTGACATTCCACGTCACAATCCAGAAACAAGGCGAGTATTTCAAAACTCAGGGGTGAGCATCCTTCTGTTTGAGGTTAGTTGCCTATTTGCCCCTCCTCATCTTAACAATACTAGCATAATCAGCATCAACACGATTCGGTGTTCGCACAACAATTGTTTTAGCTGGACGGAAACAGAAAAAGGTTAAACACTCACTTGCGTAGTGGTAAGAAGGCGTTGCATCTTTGTGTCCTGTGCAGCCGCTGGTGCTCCCACGGGGCCACCACCGAATGGATTGCTTACGGAAAACACTCGACGTGATGATTCAGCTGATTCGCAGGGAGGAAGACCCATTCCAGTGACTCGAAGCACACGATCCTCGTAAGAACCCTCCACCAGAACTATACAACCCTCTGGGAAAAGTCCCTGAACAGTGTCAAAGTTAGAAAACTAGCGTCTAAGCCTCAATCAAGATGAAAATAAAGGAATGGCTAATAAGACAGGAAAGACGGTAGTTAGTAAGGATCCATTGAGGTTCAAGCAAAATTTTGTGCAGTATAAGCACGATGAACGACGATCCTCTAGGTGATGTCTGGATTCAAACAAATGAATGATTCGAATCTCTGTCTAAAGAAACGAATGTGGTCAGTTCCATAAGAAGCAACATCTGTGGTAGAATTCCTCTCTAGTGGCTTTTGAGTTTCACTTGGTAGGCGCATACACAGAAGCAACAACAGAGCCGTGAATCCGGACAACGCCTATTGATTCTAATAGATGTACAAAATCGGCTACTCGCTGGAGTCCACAGAAAGAAATGACATTCAGTCTTCCTGTTTGGTTAAATAGTAACACCGCCGAGTTTGTATCACAAAGATGGCAGCAGTGGTCGCCGAGCTTATCTCACGACGCACAAGTACTATTTTCGGAGATACAACCAAAAGAACGAATGGTGGAGATCAGAGCCATTTGTTTATGGACCTGACTGAGTGGTGGCACTAAAAAACCCTCGCTTCCGCGAGGCAGGTCGATGAATGCGGCCAAAATAGCGGTTTGTAAGCCATCTGCGGAAAACTTATATGAATCCCTGATTTCTGTGCCCGGAGACCTCTCTTGTTTTGCTGGAAGTTGTTTGAGGGTCATTTGATTTCTTTCTTTGAGTGATTTGGGCATGGATGAGTGTTGAATGATTTAGCGGCTATTCACGAGCCGCAACAGATTTCCTGCGACGAAGGAAAACAGTGTGATTTGCACCTAAGAATTGACCTTAATCCCGCAACAGCAGCAGAGAATATTTAAGGAAGCACGAGTGAAGCTTAGTGAAAAGTTGCCGCAAAAACTAAATATTCAGCCTCCCTCAACTAAAAAGCAATCACCTGTGGATACCATTTCAAGAAGTATCAAGGAATTCAGCTATGGTCTTCAAGACTCATACAGTTTCGAATCTGGGTTCAGAAGGTAGACAAATACATTCCGGACAGAGATGGATGATGCAAATGACAGCTTGGTAACACCATTGCTTCTGCTCAAACTTGGAACAAAAGGAGCATGACATTTCGATGAAGTTTACTCTTTCTAAAAGTGCAAAGTATTTTAAATGTTACGAAACTATTGAGTCGTTGAAAGAAATCTGAGGAAGCGTTTGTTTATCTTCAGCATGCGATACTTATGTGTGAAGGTTGTCAAAAACGACTGTGGTTAGTTAGCGTCATACGCGAGCATGGATAACTATCAGTGTGAGCGCTTCAGGAGCAAAGGAAGTGATGAAAGAGCAATGCATATGTCTGTGGTCTTCAGTCGCTTCGAGACTCAGATGTTGGTAACTACTTACTAAGCGAGATGCGCAGGAGCATAAAATGAATCTGAGAACGGTTATTACGGAACTTGAAAACACGATGCCGCCATGATAGGATAGGAATCAGTTCCTGGTTTCAGTAACAACCATGCCCGGACAAGTAGAACTTCAGCCAAGTCCACTACTCTTCCTTGAAGCGATACCTTTAACAATCCCATAAAGGTTTTCTGACGGTGTGGTGACTCGCATTATATAAGACTGTGTCCATTCAAAAATCGCCGCCATCAGATGCATCACAAACGTGGGCACAAAGAGTATCAATGCCGTTCAAACAATAGAACGCATCCGTAGACTAAGGGCAGTCCAGAAAATTCGGACAGTAATCCATGCACAAGATAAATTTCGTGATGACGGTTTTCGACACGGACGCAAAAGCTCACATGAATCACGGGGGACGCTAATCTACAGCAATTCGAAAATACCTATTTACTGGAATGAATCAAAGTTAGGCGAGTACTGTGTACGGTCACGAATACTAGGAGAACAATGTAAGAGTCATCTGCACTATTTCTGGACGATTCCCGCGCGGATTCAGGAACAATATCCTATCAATTGCTGAAGCTAAGCATATTCGCTATCACAAGTCGGGGTTGTGCGAACAGAAACAATTTGTACACCCCAGACTTCTACCGTGGCCTATAAATGTCGTTATATGACCGTTTGATTCAGATTCCAGTTAACATTTGATTGGTTGTGTAAGCAATTTACCCTTGTACTTAATATAATACCTCCAGTAACAGCGTGACTTATTAAGCTGGCTGTTGTAGTTAGACATTCTAATGGATATTCGGCCCAATTAGGCTCATTTTACATGTAATCCCCACTATGTAGACGTCCGAATCTGATAAGTTTTACGGAAAAGAGTTCTGCAATCAGCACTTGTCTCACTCTGATTGATTCTAGTAAATGGACGCAATACACCGCCGAATATATGTGACTATGCATACCAACAACACTCCTGTGCGTCTTCAGCTGGATACAGCACCTGACATCACTTTATTGTCAGAAAACACACTGAAGAGGATCAGTCGATCAATCGCGCGGTGTTGAATACTCCCGGTGAACTCCTGAGAGTAACAGATGAATTGTTGTTTTCTGTGAATTTCAATAACGTGCAATTCTGTGTTGTGTTATCTTTAAAATGGGCCAAATTTAAATCTTTAGGGCCTTGATTGGATCAAAAACTCAAACTTATGGACGTCCAAGTTAATTCCGTGTGTAATCAATTGTGTGTTCAAGCTGTGATCACCCGAACGCGCAATCGGTTGACAAAGCGCATGCACTTCAACTAAGCCCATGTATTCCAGGGTGGACTTGGCTACTGTATTCCTTCTCCATCCTGATGCAAAAGCTGTTTTTTGACCCATACGTCCAGTGTCATACTCGGCCTTATCAAACGTTGATCAGAAATTGGAGGGACCACAACAGGCTGAAATCCTTCAATATGTGATTTACTCCTCATGGTGTGCTACTATCGTTGTGGTCAAAAAGCCAAACGAGAAAGCTTGGATTTGCGCAGACTTCTCCAACGGTCTGAATGCTGCTTTAGAAGACCCCTAGTATACGTCGCCTTTACTTGAAAAGTTGTCTGCAAAGCCCAATGGTAGCAAATGTTGCGCTAAACTGGACCCATCGGATGCATTCCTTCAAGTGTCAGTGAGGATTTCCAAGAATGTCTAACTCTCAACACGCCGCGATCCGTTTTGGAATATTCACCTACGATACGAAGTGAAAACGGCACTCGCAACCTCCCCGCAAATCAATGATACCATGTTACAGAAGGTTTCAACTTTTACGGCATACCTTGGTGATTTGAGCATTATGAGCACTGATCCGATGGATCTAGGAAAATCGGATTGAAAATGTGTCTGATCGAAACCAGGATTATGGCTTTCGCCTAAGAGACGAAAAGCGTTTTCCAGATGGAATCGGGATTCATCATTGACCAACATAGACAACGACCAGACCGAGCTAATACCCTGAGGTCATCCAGAAAACGCCTGCACCACATGATGTGACGAGGTTGCGATCCTTCGTGGGAATGGTGAGTCACTACTGTAATTTTGCCAGAAATGCACTTAACTCACTACTACTTCACAAGGAATACCAGTGGTGCTGAAACAAATAATGCCACCGAGCTTATAACGGAATCAAAGCTATGCTGTCGTCATAACTGCATGTGACCCATTACGATCCAAAATCGAACACCGGTCCCACGGATGCGTCTTAATACGAAGCTGACATGGTTATTTCTCACCGCTTTCTTGATGGAAATAAGAAGGTACTTGACAATACCGCCCGGTCGTTAGTCCAACTGCACTCATATTGGAAAGGAAGAAGTGGCAATCATTTACGCTAGCAAGAAATTCGATAAAAAGCTGGGTGGCCGTCGTTTTAATCTCGCAAGTGATCACAAGCCCCACTTGTTATCTTCAGTTGGAAGAAGAGCATTCTCATGTGTTGCGTTTCCGCTGACATTACGGATAACCGATTTAGGTATTCGAATGACGGTCCAGAAACGATGTGAAAATCTTTTACACTATTGATGTAACTGACACGAGCCACACCACGAGTGCCAATGTGTTTTATCCGAAAGCCCCTGGTTTATGGTGCACCAAATGGAATGTGTCATTCTCGACGGGAAAGTGTAGTACCTTACTGGTTCGTAGTATAATCGTACCATACATCTTGGTCCTGTGTGGAAGACAAAGAATGTGCAACAGTATGATAAAATATTTCGGCCTTCACTATTCTAATTCGTTAGACTTTATGGAGCAGAAGGCAAATACAGTTGCTAAAGCCCGTTGAAGTATTGGACTACTTTTCAAAATATTCACAATGCAATATTCCATATCTGCCTCGTACAAGATGATAACTCGACCGCTGTTAGACTATTGTGCATTGATTTACAGCAATGCAAGAAAGGGCGACCGCCAGCAATTGGAGAAGTTGTAGAGATCGTTCACTAAGCGCTTTCTGGGATCAGCTTCTCAAATCTCTTAGGCGCAGCGCTGCAAGTAAACCCGGTATGACTGAGGTGGATGAAACTTAACGTCTCATATTCCATATCACAAACAAGCGAATTCATACCCCTTGTTTGGATATGAAATCAAGGATAAGCCAAACAGTAGTATTCGAGACAGTCATAACTGAAAAAGAAAGGTGTAAAACTCAGGCATCAAAGGACTATTAGGCGAACGTTTACTCAAAGATAAGGAACAGGCGGTAGTCCAAGTTGCGAGGATGTTAATCATCTGAAATGTTTCGAAAGATCTGTAACCCATTAGCTGCTGAAAAGGTCATCGACCTGCTGTTTCAAAATGTCACGGAAGAGGTTGCATCTGAGAACTATCCAGTAAATAACTAAGGTGGTAGCACACACCATCATTTTATTTTACTTCATATCTCCCTTACTAAACCTTTTGATTCCTAGCAACTATTAGCTTCAAGAAAGCATTCTAAACCATCACGTAACAGTACGGGGCAATGACATACTGAGCAC